TGATTGGTCGCTGCAGGAGCGTCCTGAGGAAATTCTTCGAAATGTTTATCTCCTGCGTCCTCGAGTGTTGCCACTTTAGCTTTTTGTGATGAAAAAATAAACAATTTCTACACAATTCACAGCCAAGCGATTACTCGATTAATCGTAAAAATAATCGATAGATTAATCGATTACAAAATAATCGTTAGTTGCAGCTCTACTCTGCTATAACACGTCCTCCTCACTCAAGAGAAATGGAATCGCACCAAAAGTAAGGCTGGGCGATAAAACGATAATGATATATATCGCACTAGACACGTGTTCAGTATCAATAGAAAACAGGGTCGATAGAATGTTCGATAGTTTAACTTCACTCTGTTAGAAAAAACAGGAAGTAAAGCCGAGTCAGAAGCGCGCTGCATTCTGGGGGATGTAGGCAGAGACTTCTCGACCTATCACAGCCAAGCATGGACTGCAAAACATTCTGGGAAATGCAAAAACAACAACTGCACCATGCGTAGCGTCCATGGATCTAAGATTGTTTTTCAATGCCGTGTCAATGCACGTCAGTGCGAGGCATAGCATGTGCGGTGTGGCAGAGGCAGTGGACAAGGAGACCCGATGCATGCGGCAAAAGCAAGAGATGAACTTTTTCCTCAGTACGGCTATCAGAGAGCGGCTGCACGGAGCCTTCATGGGGACACATAACAGGAGATGAACCAGGACTAAACCAGGATTTCACCAGGACTAACTATGGGGGAGACTGTTTGTGAACATATTCCTCTAGCCTCATTCCCCCGTGACTGTAAACAAAGCTGCTAACATGTGTTAGCCGACACGACAAACATATTTTTTCAGGAAAAAAATATATATAAACAAGAAAAATCAATGTATATAGTTATCGACCAATATAAATTACTTATATTGTGATAAAGTTTTCAGCCATATCGCCCAGCCCTAACCAAAAGCCCCAAAAGTCAACGCAACGTCGCCACAACGCATGAACTCGTCTGAACGCCCCATTACTCTCTTTAGAGGCTGAAGAAAGAATTCAAAGGGGATTGACAGCACAACACAGAATGAAAAGGTTTTCAGGGAGATCGCGCAGCTCTTGATTTTTGACTAGTCTGTGGTGGTTCTGGAAATAACTGTTTAGCTACGTTAACCAACAGTTTGTAAATTGTTGGTTTTGCACTTTACTTTTGTTTTTAATAAATGTGTGATCATATCAAGACTTTGTTTCATTCATTTGTCTGCACGTGCAGAAAAGGGGCTCAAAAGCAAAAGTTAAGATTTCCTACCACATACTCTCACTTCTATTTACATTACATACATAATATTTGTCAGTAAATCCTTATAACCGTAGGAAATGTATGAACAAGGGTGGAGACATATTTGCAAATACAAGAAAAAAAACATGAATGACACATTCATGTTTTTGATTAAAGTATCATCTTGAGAATAAATTCTACATAAAGATTTGGTCATGTGTCCACTATTTTCATAATTCAATAAAAATCATTTAAAAATTGCTTTTTCTGTAAAGTGGGGGCATTATTAATTATTAGAGATTATTTAAGATGACTTTTCTTCCTTACACATGCATACGAACAATGCAATAAAAGTATTCCATGCAGAGTGTAATTGTCATTAATAAATAGTTGACTTTGTCAAGCAGATGGAATGTATTGTGTTTATTTATTATTCATAATTTAATAATGTGTTTGATCCAATACTTTCTGCTTTTCATATATACTAATTCCTCTTCTCTATGTCAAATTGCAATATAAAAAGCATGTTTAAATAGTTAGTAGTGAGTATATGTGCACCACACGCAGCATAATTCAATAGATCCATGATTATCATCAGAACAGCAGGAGAAAAGGCTCTGATCTACCGCGACACCGGAGCACACACGCGGAGGCTCCTTTGTGGATGCGCCGCGGTGAGGGCGCTGCACGGATCCCAGCAACCCTCCGCCGCGGACACTTTATGCTAGTCGGGTTATTAAAGGCACAGATCATGCATGGGCAAATATGTAGTTTACGTGTAGAGGGGCAGATGCACGCAGAGCCGAGCCAGAGAAGTGCGGTGGGAAAGGCCGATTCATACATTTACATCCACCCACAGCCACTGGCTCCGTGCGCCATGAAGCAGAGAGTTTACGTGTCCTTTTTTAACAGACAAACCTTATACATGTTCAAAGTCGTGTTAGCGGTAAATGAAACAGGGTTAAAGCCTTGTACTTACGTCTGTGTGCGGCAGTAGGAAAAACACTTTTGGCTCTTGCACTTCCGGGTAGCCCCTCCCGCAGGAAAACTCTTGTAGCAGGCGGATGGAAAGGTTCACATGGTGTGGCTGTGTCTGATGTAAAACAGTGTTACAGACACAGTGAGGTCATGGACAAGAGTTTGCTCGGCTGACTTAATTTGTTGCTGATGTTTGTGATAAATAAGATTAAGAACCTTGAAGGCCATGGATCTATAACAACCTTGCAACTTCTCCACTGCACCATCATGTAGACAACACATGTAAATCATGCTCAAATGTTGGATCTGAAAGAGTGTTATGGTGTTTTGCCAGTTTGAGCGCTATACAGCTCACTGGGTAACACAAATCACATTTCACCATTTTCTAAACAATAACAGTATATTCATGAATACATGAACAGGTACAAACTAGTTTTGTTGTTAAATCTTTACTTTTCGTTTTGTAGCTGTCTTTGTTTGTATGACACCTATTAGTAGTATCCGTAGGACAATATTCTGATATCACTCCACCAGTAGTAGCAATGCTTCTAATGAATTCCACGTCAACAGATTTCCATCCTGTTTATGGGGTCTGACACTCCTAAGAAAGACACTCCTGCTCTACACCTCCTGTAGAGCAGGAGTGTCTTTCTAAGGATATCTCTGCTTCACAGGAAGAGAGAGCCACATTCTGCTGTCTCCTTGTTTTCCATTAAATAAGTGAACTTACGTCACATAAACGCATAACATTCACATAAACTATCACAGTCGCCTGATGTGCTGTGTCTATCGGTGTGTGTTCGGCGTCTTGCTTCCATCATCACTGTGTGTGGAGAGAATGGAACAATACCTGCACTTTCAACAATTGAGCTTTGGGTGACCTTGGTCTGTAAAATGCACTATATAAATAAAGATTACTTAAATACTTACTTACATGAGCGGTAACAAATAACCTTGATTTAGGTAGGAATACCAACCACACCACCCAAAGAGTATGGCCTTCGGACCATAACAAATCAAATATACCAGTTAACCAATAAGGCCGGGGGATTGTGGGACATGATAATCTCCAGTCTGAGTTCTGCACATGCAGCCTGGCTGTACTACCCACACAATTTCTTATCAATTTTGAGCAGCCTTTTACCTTCACTTACGCCTATAGTAAGCATGTCCCTTAATTCTAACATTCCCAAAGGCCCTGTCATGACCATGACCAAAGTTTGGTCATCGGGCCCCTCCCAGAGAAGAAAAGTCTGGATGCCATGGTACTTAATAACTATCTCCCAGGGGGAAAGCCCTTAAAACAGTTCTCTACCAACAGCTCACCAAATTTCTTATAATCAACAACTCCTTTGATATGTTTCAGTCCGGCTTTAGACCCCACCACAGCACTGAGACTGCTCTCGTCAAGGTTACAAACGATATCCGGCTAAACACTGACACAGGCAAAGTCTTAATCTTAATCCTGTTAGATCTGAGTGCTGCCTTTGACACCGTCGACCATGAGATCCTCTTACAGAGATTAGAGGACTGGGTTGGCGTCGCTGGCATCACTCTAAGTTGGTTTAGGTCTTACCTTGAAGACAGCAAACACTTTGTGGAGATTGGAAATTGTATCCCAGATCATATGGCCCTGACCTGCGCAGAACCATCATGACTGACCCTGGGACCTATTCTTCCATCCCTACATGCTGCCGTTAGGCAGTAGTAGTATTTTTATTTGAGCAGTTGACAATACACAATAACATGCATAAATAATTCAAGAAAGACAAAAAAAAGGCTCAAAAGGAGAAGGCCGAAGCAAAAAGCTTATATGTGCCTTCCCCATTATCAATAAATTAATTTAAGCGGCTGCAAAATATTTAAATTTTCACATGACATTCCTGATTTTTGCCATCATCATTTTTATCTTGTTGATACAAACAAAAATATCAGCAATGCTTATCAATTTATGTTCCATCCAGTTCATCGCAATAATAAATGTAATCTTCATTGTTTTTAAAACAGCTACAGCTGTAGCCCCCAGTCAGTTAATACGCAATAAAAATGTGTCCTAAAGTTAAAGGTGCTCTTTATTTTTCCCCGCAGGGCAATTCCTTATCTGCATTTGACCCATCCTGATGCCACTAAGCAGGCTTACGTCAGGAGCAGTGGCCGCAGTAGTACAGCGCCCCGGGAACTCATCTCCAGATGTTGACGCTCGGCTTGGTCAGGACCAGAGCTGGAGGATATTACCTAGTGCACATGTTTTTAGTGGTAGGGGAAACCGGAGCACCCAGAGAAAACCTACATAGACATGAGGAAAACATGCAATCCAGGATTTGAACCCAGGAACTTCCCCTATCACAACTACGCTGACAATGCTCAGATCTGTGTCTCACTGACTGCAGGAGAACATGGACCAGTGGACTCACTCCTTCACTGTATCCAACAGATCAGTGAGTGGATGCAAAACAACTCTCTTCAGCTAAACACACTCACACACATGTACACGCACACACAAAGACACACACACACCTTGCATAAAACCTATTGTTCTCACTGCTTGCTGCTTCATCAACATGGCGTGTGTGTGCAGTAATCGTGAGTGCGTTCTTGCAGCTCCTCTCTGCCGGTGCTGGTGGGCCTTGCATCAGCTGTTTTCTCCCATGTTTTCAGAGCAGAGGCTTGTTGCATCACGGACTCTCACAAAATAATGAGAAAACATTATTGTCCACGTGTTTTCGAAGTGTCCCGCTCCAATGGATCCCACTGATGAGAAGGAGATAAAACATGATGCCCAGCTGCTGCTCCCTGAGACAGAAGTGGGACCAGCCCATTCAGCCAGGTAAGTCTCTCTCATGTCATTTCAATAATAACGCATCATTAACAAAGAGTCCTCTGCAAATATGACAATTTATTTAAACAAGGGTTATCCCTGCATCTCTTTTACACATAATAAAGACAATTTTGCCAGAGTACTAAATGAGACTGAAGAATAGAAATGTATCAATCAAATGTAGATCTCAATTTTAGTGTTTGCACTGAAGGAAACGCAAAGAGCAGGGTTAGCAAGCAAGTGCCGGGGTTTCTGTTTGAGTACATTTTTACCCAAATAATAGATAAGATAAGATGAACCTTTATTTGTCTCGCAGTGGAGAAATTTCAGTGTCATCGTTGCGCATTACAGCAGAGAAAGAAGGAAATAAGAGCACTCAGATAACACATCAAATAAGTCTATTATTTAAGATAATAGACAATAAAATTAAGATAAAGAATAGAATAAAATAATCTCTGGGGCTATAATTGCACTTGGTTCAGAAGTATTTACAGAAGTGTATATTGTACATTAGCAGCGGAGAATATGAGATTATGAATATGAGCAGAATAAACATCAGAAATATCATCAGGTAAAGTGACTGGTGAAAGGCAGAATTATCAGATATGTAATAATGCAGTAATACTAATAACAGGTAAAGTGACTAGTGACAAAAAGTTACTCGTGAATTATCAGTGACATTTGTACAGACTCAGCAGTTCTTGTAACACATTCTCGTTGTACAGCCTGACAGCAGCAGGGAGGAAGGACCTGCGAAACCTCTCCCTCACACAGCGAGGATGAATTAATCCGTCTACCTCGATTAAAGACATTTTAAGACTTTTTTTCTGGCAATGGGACAAGCAACCATGTCTTATTCCGTTTTAAAAATATTTCAATGTTTTTCCTTGACACAGTGAATGTACAGACTTTGTAGGTGCGACACAATATTTGGTATATGCATGCTACAGTTGAGTGCATGTTCATAAATATATTATTTTTAAGCACCCTTTAGGTTATGAAAATGCGTTATAATAGTAAAAAACATTAAACAACATAGATTTACAAACAAATGAAATAAAATACATGAATGATACAGAATTATATGACAACATGGTTTTATCAAATGTATTCACAATGTCTTATATTAACGGCTTATTAAACGAGCGCGAGGTTAATACATGTTTTATTATATGACTATCTTTTATTTATGCAAATCTCGATCGGTTTCAACTAGCAAAAACACATGCAACCAAACTGTCAAATCGTGACATGGAGAACTTGCTTATCAGATGATTGAGGCGCCCGCTGTACGTTCTCAATCTCTTCTGTCTTTACCATAGACTGTATATATTAACGGACAGAGTCACGCCTATCTCCGCCGTTCTAACTAATGGGCCAAAAAATGTGCTCTACTGGAGCTATCCAAAATGGCCGCGGGAAAGGATTTTTTTTCTGTAGGCTTTTTTATCAGCAAAGTTATACGCGCAAACATACACTTTTTAGGCAACTTCTTCAACTTCCAAGCTGCTAGCCACAGCCTGGACTCGTAGTTAGCCGTTAGCTTATCATGCAGGATACTCATGATCATAACACTGTCCTTCCAGCCATACAGTCAAGTGTTTCCATAAGTTAGTACAACCACGGTCCGCACAGAATGTCCCAGAACCCTGTTTGCGTTTTGCTGCATCCATTTTTTAATCCTGAGAACGTGGAATGATCCTCTCTCTTTGGTCTGAGCTGGAGCTAAGAGCTAACCGAGTGTCAAGAACAGCACCGTGGTTGCACTCAACATCAAGATGATTTGTCTCGTAAAAACAGGATTTATTTGTCTCATAAAAACAGAAACTTTTTTATTTCAAGTGAATGCAATAAGCTTCCGTAGTATTCTTAATTTACAAGATTTAAATTAGTTTTTTTGCAACAAGGAAAATGTCTGTATTTACAATTCCATTCTGTCTATTCAAATCCAAACAGCTTTATTAATACCTAAGAAAGAGCCAACCTGGAGGAACAAACACATTTATTGACATGAAATATAACATTTGACACGAGAGCATGTCTCTTGTGCCCAGCCTCTCTCTCTCTCTCTCTCACACATGCTCTCTCACCCTCTCATGTGCCCAGCCTCTCTCTCTCTCTCACATGCTCTCTTACCCTCTCATGTGCCCAGCCTCGCTCTCTCTCTCTCTCTCACATGCTCTCTCACCCTCTCATGTGCCCAGTCTCTCTCTCTCTCTCACATGCTCTCTCACCCTCTCATGTGCCCAGTCTCTCTCTCTCTCTCACCCTCTCATGTGCCCAGTCTCTCTCTCTCTCTCTCACATGCTCTCTTACCCTCTCATGTGCCCAGCCTCGCTCTCTCTCTCTCTCACATGCTCTCTCACCCTCTCATGTAGTAATTAAGTAGTAGTAATCTTTATTTATATACCGCCTTTTCACTGCAGATCTGAGTCTCAAAGCGGTTTACAATTTTTAATATTTTTTATTTTTTTTTAATTTTATTTTTTGGGCATTTGTCTCTCGCTCCACACAGAGATGGGAGCGGGGTCGCCAGTACAGGAGGCGCATGCCAGAACTATTGGACATATTTTTAGTGGTAGGGGAAACCGGAGTACCCGGAGGAAACCTACGCAGACACGGGGAGAACATGCAAACTCCACTCAGAAAGGCCCTGGTCCGACCGGGATTCGAACCCAGGACCTTCTTGCTGAGAGGCAAGAGTGCTATCCACTCAGCCACCGTGCCGCCCTCATGTGCCCAGTCTCTCTCTCTCTCTCTCTCTCTCACATGCTCTCCCACCCTCTCATGTGCCCAGTCTCTCTCTCTCTCTCACATGCTCTCTCACCCTCTCATGTGCCCAGTCTCTCTCTCTCTCTCACATGCTCTCTCACCCTCTCATGTGCCCAGCCTCTCTCTCTCTCTCTCTCTCTCTTTCACATGCTCTCTCACCCTCTCAGGTGCCCAGCCTCTCTCTCTCTCTCTCTCTTTCACATGTTCTCTCACCCTCTCAGGTGCCCAGCCTCTCTCTCTCTCTCTCTCTCTCTCTCTCTCACATGCTCTCTCACCCTCTCATGTGCCCAGCCTCTCTCTCTCTCACATGCTCTCTCACCCTCTCATGTGCCCAGCCTCTCTCTCTCTCTCTCTCTCTCTCTCACATGCTCTCTCACCCTCTCATGTGTCCAGCCTCTCTCTCTCTCTCTCTCACACACATGCTCTCTCACCCTCTCATGTGCCCAGCCTCTCTCTCTCTCTCTCACCCTCTCATGTGCCCAGCCTCTCTCTCTCTCTCTCTCTCTCTCTCTCTCTCTCTCACATGCTCTCTCACCCTCTCATGTGCCCAGCCTCTCTCTCTCTCTCACCCTCTCATGTGCCCAGCCTCTCTCTCTCTCACCCTCTCATGTGCCCAGCCTCTCTCTCTCTCTCACCCTCTCATGGGCCCAGCCTCTCTCTCTCTCTCTCTCACCCTCTCATGTGCCCAGCCTCTCTCTCTCTCTCACCCTCTCATGTGCCAAGCCTCTCTCTCTCTCTCTCACCCTCTCACCCTCTCATGTGCCCAGCTTCTCTCTCTCTCACCCTCTCATGTGCCCAGCCTCTCTCTCTCTCTCACCCTCTCATGTGCCCAGCCTCTCTCTCTCTCTCTCTCTCTCACATGCTCTCTCACCCTCTCATGTGCCCAGCCTCTCTCTCTCTCTCTCTCTCTCACATGCTCTCTCACCCTCTCATGTGCCCAGCCTCTGTCTCTCTCTCTCTCTCTCACCCTCTCATGTTCCCAGCCTCTCTCTCTAAGGCCCCGACTCCACCGGGCGCGTAAAACGGACGACGGATCCGTCCAAACATGTCCGTTTCATCTCCGTCTCCGTTATCTCCATGAGAGTGAATGGAAGTGGCTCCACTGCCTCCGCATGCGTCCGTCCAACGCACGTCGGACCTATTGAGAATGAGGAGTTGACGTCACGGCACAGAGTCCCCCCGCCCCATCCCCCCTTTGCCGACATATTGGCTGCGCACCGGTGGCGGCAGTACAGTTTGTTTACTAGGGCCATAGCACATCTCAGAATTCACGTGGAGAGGGTGATCGGTGTTGTGCGCAACAAATTCAAATTCTTACACTCAACTGTACCTGTGCACATGCTTGTCAAATGTGAGGGTGAAAACCTAATGCCTTTGGATAAGATTGTCATTGTTTGCTGTGCCTTAACGAACATGTGCAAAAGTGTTGTTTGAGTACCTTATTCTTTACTGTATCTTTTATTTTTAAATAAATGCATGAAACAACTTGATATGGTTTACCAATATTTATTGAGAAATGAATATTTTTTTTGTTACAAACGTGTGCAGTCAAAGTACTGTTTCCAGCATGTAAACATGCCCAACATAGGTAAAAATGATAATAAGAGTCATACTTTTCTTAGTGCAAAGGGACACAAAACACTGCTAAACAACGTGTGCATTCAAAGTACTGTTTCCAGCATGTAAACATGCACAGCATAGGCAAAAATGATCATAAGAGTCATACTTTTCTTAGTGCAAAGGGACACAAAACAACTATGTCCATGTATGTGCACGGAGGTAAATGGTCCAGGTTTCTGTGCCATTCCGCTGCAGGGAGCTCGTATGGGTCGATGTTTTTGATGTCCGCAAGCTTCTCCAAATACCTCTGTTTTGCGCTTGGTATGAGCTTGTTCCTGTACGGTCCCTTCTCTTTCGCCTTATCTCTAAGCATTGTTTTACTGTCTTCCTTTCCCTTGTTGTATCAGTAGATCCGTCTCTGTCTCGCCGAAAACGTAAATGCGTATAATTTAAAGTGCTCTGGAATATGAGGAGCGCGTGAAATTCTGGGGGCGTGCCCCCGTTGCGCAGCCAATATGTCCGACAGGCTCAGAGCCCCCCCCAAATCACCCCAACTCGGCACGTGACTCCTCATTCTCAATTCCGTCAACGGAGGGTGCAAAAGACGTGGACGGACGAAATAGAAACAATCCTATTTGTTCCGTCCGTCGACGCGTGTCGGGTCCGTTTTCCATTGAAAATGCAATGGAATAATATATTTACAACATTGTTAAACATGTATTGATATATGCTGTAGTCCTTGGTTATAAGTATTTGTTAATGACAATGATTATTAACAAACGTGTGTAATGTTTTTCATGTATTAATTTAAATAATTGTTTCCTGATCGTAAATCTACCATTTATTTTTCGCGTAATGTTAATCTTTACATAAACCTCGCTCTTCTGTCCCGTCTACCTCCGAGGCGCTCTCTCCTCACCGCCGCGCGCTCCCAGACAGACAGACAGACAGACAGACAGACAGACAGACAGACAGACAGACACGCACACACACACAGAGCTGCACTTATGAGAGACAGATCTCACAACACTGGATATGTTGGAGTTCTTTTCTCTCTCCCCTTTTTCCAATTGCTTTCAATAAGTTTTGCCTCATCCATCGCGACGTCCTCAATGCTTCAATATGCTGTGCTTTGCACTGATCATAGCCACAGCTCATTCAAATCACACACCGCTTCTTCTATTTAAAACTATAGCTCTGCCTGTTGCCTAAAGCCGCAGAGAGGCGAGTTGGCTCCGATAAAAGTGTATCATGCGCTAAATAAGTAGAAAACAAACGAAGAGGCTGGATCATAATAAACGCTGCAGTCACAGACCCAAACACACATGCACGCACACGCCTCCCACCACACACACACACACACACACACACGGGCGCTCTCACGCACACGCTCACGCACACATGCACGCCGACAATACATAACTCCTCCATCAGCCAAATATTCATTCATTCACACAATGCCCAAACATGTCTCCTACAAAAATAAAGCAGGCTGATAAACGCACAGCCAGAGTTGCATGCTGCTGCAGCCGGTTTGACCACTGGTCCGTTTTACGGACGGCTGACGGACAGCAGCCAACGCGCGTCAACGGAGACGCGCCCGGTGGAGTCGGGGGGTAACACTCTCTCTCTCTCTGTCTCTTGTGCAGGGATGAACTCGTCTGCCTCCCCCGCGGCCCCTCTAAACGCCTCCTCCTCTGGCCTGCTGTGGTACCTATACCCGGTGTGCGCGGCGAGTCCATACGCCTTCGTCTTCTACTACGGTGCCAAAGTGCTGAACCTGGTGGTGGGAACGCCGTGTAACGTGCTGGTGGTGTGGCACATCGTGTCCCGCAAGAGTGACTCCTCCACCTCCGACGTCTTCATCCTGAACCTGGCCATCCTGGACACGTACTTCTGCCTCATGACGCCCATCGACCTGGTGAACCGCCTGGTGATAGGAAGTGGCCACATCTGGTACTTCCTGCGCTTCTCCTACGGCGTCAAAGACTCGGCTCCGCTGTTCCTGGTGAGCAACACTATACTCGCTCTCACATATTCAGGGAAGTTACTTAACCTAACCGGTCACAGGTTACTAGTTACTTCTTTAGTTATATTACCCCAAGAAAGTAACTATTTTACATTACTTTTGGAATACTGTGTCTCACTAAAGAGAACAGAATAAAGTTTTTATGTTTGTTTTTAGGGATGCACCGATACCGATACTGGTATCAGGTCAATACCATAGGCTTGTACTCATACTCACAGGACCCGATACCCACATTTTTAATTTACCTTAGTGTTACGACAGCAGACAGCTGTGTGGCCATGGATCTATAATAATAACTGGATAGTGTATTTTAGCTTAAAGCTGTCCCACCCATGGGCACAGGGGGCGCTGTGCTACTGCAGACTAAATTCACGTGGGCTACCCAGAAAAAAGTCCCATAGATCACAATGTAAACTAAAACAGCACGGCTTCAGCTGACACAGAACCTACAGCTTTCATAAAGATTGGATTTTGTGGGGATTTTAGTGTCCCTTGTCATCCTTATGTTTTTTTCTTCTTAAATCCTTCGGTTTTCTTTAAATCCACACTTCACTGACACAAACTCTGCTTCTTGCCTTCCCGCTCTGGCTCCGCTCTTCTGCTGCTCTGATGAGCAGCTCTGATTGGTCAGAGCGCGGCCGAGCCCCTCTGTGCACGTGCATGAAAGCCACATACTGGTTTTTGGCGCGACACATCATGAGAGCTCATCAACTGCGCAGAACTGGGAGGACTAGACGATGCCCAAAGCGGAAGTACTGTTTGAAAATAAAGTAAACTTATGACGCACCTCCGTGAACACATACTGCTGTTATATAAAGTCTCTGGGAGGCTCTGTACACAGAGACGCTGCAGAGCTGCATTATTGGAGAAGAAATTGACACAAAAAGCAGCTAGCTTAACCCTGTTAGCATCAAAGTTCGCCCGCTACTTCCGCCACTTCTGGCAGGCGCCACCGCGGGCCAGGACTTCTGGTCTGAACACCCCTGCGTCTGAAATTGAAAGAAAGTGCGTCTGGTGCGCGAGGCGTCAGCGTTCCAGCGTCGGCGGTCTGAATGCGCCATAAAATAAAAATATGCTAATAATAACAACAGACAAGCATACTCAATTGGACAAGGGTGAAACTTACACTATAAACAAAGTGAGATTATTAGATGTTAAATTGAGAGTCCAAGGGTGTGGAGTATGAGTATATTTGTTGAACCTCATGATCATGACCCAATCTTCTAGTCTTAGCTACCTCTGTATTTTTCACCATCCACCTTCCCATCCTTTTCCTTGTTGAGAAAAAGTAACCCCACAGCATGTTTGATTGAGATTTCAGACAAGTGAAAAAGAGCACTACTCAGCCCATCGGCTCTCAACCAAATAGTCCAATAGTGACTCATAGATTCAGGGTCAGATTCAGATTCAAGGATTTTGCCATTTGCAGTAAAACCACATGGAATACATTGGCAAAAGCCCCCAGTGTGCACCAGACCAGTACATAAATAAAACAAGGTAAAAATGAAACAAAATGAAAAAATGCAGGATAAGAAGAAGACAGTTTGTCAACAAAGGTTTACGTACCCCAGCTTTACGTGCCCTTGTGGCTTGTTGTTGTTAGATGTGCATTTGCCTGGACCGCTACATGGCCGTGGTGCACCCGGTCATCTTCAGTCGTGTGCGAGACAACCGTCTGCGTGTGGGGGTGGTGTGTGTGGTGTGTGGGGGCTGGTGCTGGGCTACGGCGTGGCCAAGAGTCTGGTGCAGACCATACAGGTGCAGTATGAGCTCTTCAGCGCCATCATCCTGCTGGCCTTCTGCATCATGCTCTTTTCCAACATCTCCATCCTCTGCGTGCTGCGGCGCTCAGTCGCCGGGAAGGTAACTACAAAACACCCTTTTTACACTTATTCTGCAAAATGATCTTTGAAAATGAACTTGCTAATAACTATGGAACATTGTGACCTGGCGCCGTTTTAGCTCCATCCCCACAAATATCAGGATTGTCTGACATAAATCAGCTGATATGTTTCTGTACATTCGGCTTGTAACACTCTCTCAGTAACTGTTTATGCTGATATTTACCACAGTTCAACCTGACAAAATCTCACACAACAAACAGATATAGTGAATCTTTTACTTGTTACCCGGTACAAGGAGAAAATGTCTTGACAGAGACAGAGCTCCGAGCCCATCCCTCTCTCAAGGAAGATCGGAAACTCAAACAGTCTGTAGCTCCTTTAATAGTACAATACACACCATCAAATGCAGATAGGAAAGGAAGAAGGAAGAGAGCAAGGAACAATGACAAGATCCCATTCTCATTAGCATCCTTGGAGCAGAAGCTATACCCCATCCTTTTTTGGTCACGAAAACTAGCGGTAATCTTTCAGGGATATATTGTGTTTAGCAGTGCATTGCTTTTGTACCATGTCATCAGTGATTGTTGGGGGCGGAGCTAAACAATCAAACTGAGAAAAGACGGGTATAGCTCCTTTTAAAGCCTGCTACGAGTTGGGCTCCCCTCCATGTTGCTCCCCCAGACTTCCTGGCGCCAAAGCCATTTTAGCATTCAGCATATAATCTTAGCCACATATGATTTACCAAAATGATAACTTAAATTACATTCCAATGCCAGTAAGACTCCTTTCAGTCCTTTCTGTTGGGACAAACAACAAAGTCTGGACCATGCTCAACTTTATACAAACACTAAATGCCTGTAATCTCATGATCATGTTTTAAGAAATTGAACGAATCATATTGGGCTGTTTAAGCCTCTTAGACTTGTTTTTGAATACATTTTATCATTGACTAGCACAACTCTTTACAAACAATGTTACAAACAACTTATCTGGGTTTTTGTCACAGTGTCTGCTAGTTATTTGTACACACGTGATTGGTTTTTCCTGGTATCAGTCACTTTGATCTACATGCTCTGTCAGACATAGTCATAAGAATACAAGTTGAGTGTTAAAAAAGCTGACGTGCAAAACACCCAAGACACTGTACAACCATATTAAATTTACTTTTATATAAAAATAAATAAAATAAATAAAAAAAAAAAAATAATAAAAAAAAAAAATATAAAAATAATAAAAAAAATGCTTCACATTTATAACCTAATATCTGGACTACGATGACTGGCAGGTCAAGATAAACGTCTCGCCCAGTATAAAACTCTGGGGACGATGGTATTAGAATTCTCAAATAAATTGTACATTTTACGTGTTTTTATAATTTTGAATTATAATAATATAGATGTTATCGATGTGTGGCGTTCTGGGCTCTCAAGGTAAAAAATAAATTTGTGAAAGGAAAAATGGACAGTTGATTTAGGGACCACAGTGAAAACGTCAGTCTGAATAGTATAAGTGTTATTGAGTGGGTTTGAAGTGTGGGACGTGTTTCGGAGGTCAAGGGGGAAAGGAAATCCAGAGCTGGGGAAGCAGAGCGGCCAAATGCCCGCCAGGAGCTGGAGGAAGGAGGAGAAGCAGAGGGAGTGGCAGGTGTGCGGATGTGGAGGAGCTCAGTGAGATATGGTAGCGGGAAAGTTGTGAAGGGCTCTAAAAGGTGAGAAGCAGGAATGTTGTACGTGCCAGTGAGCTCTTCGTAGGATAAGGGGTGAAGTGGTGTATGGAGGGAGTGTGTGGGAGAGCGCTGCTGGACAGGTTTTGGACCAGTTTTGTGGAGAGTGTTTTCCAGGGAGACCAAAAATTCCGTAATCTCGTGCAGGTGTTACAAGTAAACGAGGACTGCACAGGCCTGTGTGAGAGTGATGGGCCAAGCGGCAGAGTGTTGCAGAGGCGAAAGAAGCACAGTTAGAATCTCAATAAATGCGTGTACTTTGGGAATTACGTGATTCCTGTATTTAAGGAGTGGGCTGCCAAGTTAGTCCACCAGAGTGTTTTGCCAAATGCAGAAGAACCTGAGTGAATATAAGGGTAGCTGGAGCCGACTTTCTTACAATATATGGACAAATTTGTTGTCGGCACACGCTGTAACAGGGGCAGATATATCCGGCAGAGGTGCGAAAGGCGATTACTGGAATTTAAAAATACAAGGTCATAATAAAAAAGAAAAACACAGTCCATAGAGAAACAGTGTGAGTGGGAACACATAAGTATTGTCTCAATGGAGCCACAGCAATTGTTTCAAGCATAAACGTGTATCCATTAATTAGGCCCAGGTCCAGCGAGATACAGTACCACAACTGTAATACTCACCAGAGTAGCTTGATTGTAAATTATCGCTGATCTTAAGCGCTACCTGAAAGTATGGAACTTTTGGCACTACTGGAAATAAGTAGACCTAAACCATCAAACATAGTACTGGTATGTCCATCTGGGCTCGGAACACTGTCCCACATGGGGGCAGCGCTGTCCTACAGGAGGAGAATGCACCCGGTGAAGAAGCGGGCCGTCCGCATGGTGCTCATCATCCTGGCCATCATCGTGGTCAACCTACTCTCCCCCCCTGGCCATCTTGTTGCCCTTCTCTGCACGCTACAGCCTTGGCAGCTACCAGCTGTAGATCCTGCGGCGGCTACCCCCCCCCCCCCCCCCCCCCCCCCCCGTCCTCGCATGACCTGAGCAGCAGCGAGCACCCCTTGTCTACAATCACCAAGATGGAGGCTGCGGCGGAGCGCTCGCGCACGAGGGAGAGCCCCGGAACAAGGAGGGAGAATGGGAGCCTGATGCACAAGACCTGAGGCTCCATCCACCCTACGACTGTATCAGGAACTACAGCTCAAACACTCCCACCGCCCCTTGTGTTGAAATGCATGGACGCCCATTGTACAATATGTTCTGCAGAACATAAACAAAATATCAAATTAGGTTTGGATATTTGATCCAGCCAAATTACTTCTCTTTAGAAGTGTGTTAGTAGTTTATTTCGGAGAATAGATAGAATAAGTGAGAAGAGAAAAATGCCTATGTGATAGCTGCTGGTATGTGATCGTTTTAAGGGATGGTTGTCACAGGGTTTAGTGTGGTCCACTCAAATAAAGGTAAATAAAGCAAATAAAACACAATCTTAAAAAATGTACAACGCTGTCAGGGTAAGACAAGTAGTACACCCACTCACTAAATATGTAGACAATATGACCTCATGTCACCTGCTGTAAATAATGGTGTGAAAGAGTATTCCCTTACGGTCGGCCCATGTCCCAGGAAAAGTTGTGAGTTGTAATACACAACCGTTTATGATCCCTTCAAATGCAGCCTAGAGATTTGAACCTAATAACATATATACATTTTGATGAAGTAATGTATTAATCCGTAAGCAAGAAAGTTTGAATTCATATTGTTATGCAGTAAAGCAATGGGTTACGGTATATAAGGCACGTTTTATCAGAACAAAGGTCTACCACAAATCGCGTTTAAACAATTGGTGCGGTAGGTCAATATTTTTCCACTCTCCCTCTCCACTCGTTGATGTAATGGACACCTAGCGCCGAACAACACTGGCCTCACGACCGAACACCCTCCATTCAGTCTGTCATTAGATACATACCTTTTGTGCATGTATGTTAGTGGTAGGGGAAACCAGAGCAGCACTCGCGGAGAACATACAAACATCACTCAGATAAGGGCCCTGTTCCTAACTCCAACCTAGGCTGTTGACCCAGGACCAGAGAGTTGTCAAGCCACCTCCCACCCATGAGGCATGTTTACAAAGTGTTGGTATATTGAATGGAAAATTATAAACCCTGACCGAAAGGTACGCCCACTGGTAAAAGTGTGTTAGGGTTGATTAGGAAAGTGAATGCCTTGACGAGGGCATAACCCAAATTGCTCCATGGTTCCCTAACCTGCGGATATGAAGCAGATCCCCGTGAACATAAGTCGATGCCCCCCATGCTCGCCGTCTTCGGCCAAATACGCACTCACTATTTACGACTAAAAACCACATTACTCTAGGAGTTGACATGAAGCTAAGATAAGCACATAGGACTGTAGATACCAGTCTATGCACTACAGGCTGGACTCAGAAAATATTTAATCGCGTAGGTCACCACTCTGCTGTTCTAACTAATGTGCCAACACCTTACGCGGTCTATGGGCAGTATCAAAATGGCCGCCGGGCTGGAAAACGGGAAAAAAAAAACGCATCGGCACATGCTTCAGTCCGGCACGAGCCCCATGTCAGTTTAACAAGTGCCCTGCAAAAGATTCCACATGCGACTAAACTAGATCTGTGCAAAAAAGTCATCCACCCCCCTCGAGCATTTGACCCACATGGGGGAACGGAGCTTTGGCCAAGAGCCAATCTATTGGTCCATCCTGATAAGACGTTTTTGAAAGGTCTGCTAAGGCTAGGTGTTAGAATTGAATTAATTCTTCTTCTGGGTCCACCCCATTCGGCCCGGGTGGTATGGCAAGCATTCCTGCGGCACAGTACATTTGGGCCACGTTTGAGCCAGGAACCCGCCCCCAACTGGTGCGGACGCACCATTTCTCCCTGCTGGTCCAATCACCTCTTGGAGGCGGGCTTTTGACGTCATAGATGGTGCACGACACACGTTCAAACAGCTCGTTTACTGTGCCTCTCGAGTACTAAAAGAGAGAAAGAATCGGTCTCTAACTATAAGCTGAGGGAATCAATGACAATAAAACGACTCTGGGCATGTGTATGAGGCCAAATAGACACGGGAAGCATGTTGTAAAACCAGAGTATGAGAGCAAAAAGCGTAATGTGGGACCTTTAAGGTTTTTCACAACCTTTTTGTCCTGCATCCATGGCGCTGGAGCGCCCCCCGGGGGAGGTCCCACACAAGACAACTTCTGCATGGTGCCAATCAGGACAATGATCCTATACACACAGCCCAGCAACAAAGGAGTGCCTGCCCCTTAACAGGTCAAGTTGAGATGTTGTAAAAGTGGCCAGTCTCCAGACCGCGACCCAATAGAACCAATTGTAAGGGAAGAGTGGATTGTCAGCGACAGCCTCAAACCATCACGGCGCGAGAGATCTCGGGATAGAATAGGCCAATAATACAGTGAGTTCATACTCCAGTGAAGATCCAGACAGGAAACATTTGACCGCTGCCAACAAAGGCAAGTACTTTTACATTACACCGAAGTACTTTGAAGAACGCTGGATTCCAAACAAAAGTGACTTAATTCTTCGTGGTATTGAATCTCTTCAATTAGTTTACATAGTCTCCCATATGCATTTGTTGTGCTTATACTTAGTTCAATAAACTTATAGTAAACAATACACAGACAATTGTTTGTGAATTTTTGTCTTGTTGCTTTATTTTGATGGAATTCTGCTATGGTAGAAATCCAGGTGACATCACACTAAAATCATACAATTGCCATACCATAGATATTGGCCCCGACGGTGATTTGTAAAGTTAAAATAATGGGATCAATGCCTATCCATAATAAAATGCACGGTACAATGTGCACCATGAATGATAAACCTCATTTAAGGTATAGTTATACAGAAAGCACATCTTTATTTGCTCTAACCACCATCCATTTCGTCTTTGGAATATATTCTCCTCCATGTATTCCTTGCCAGGGGCCTCCTGCTGTGGAGCACTTCCCCAAGTGATAAAAGTAGGAAGTAATATTTTGTACAAAATGATACAACCAGGGCTCCTGTGGACAGTGAGGGGCTGGTGCTCTGTGGACAGGAGAGGGCTGGTGCTCTGTGGACAGTGAGGGCTGGTGCTCTGTGACTTGGGTGGCATGCTCTGACTGCCATCTCCCAAACCAGAATGAGTGTAAGCGGAAGTAAAATGGATGGTTAGCGATGGACATTACCCACATTGTTGAACCCCAGTGTGAAACCTTGGACAATGGCCCCTCATTGGTCATGACTAAAATACATAGTGAATCCCGGGTGCTTGTGTATTTTTCTATCAGGCTAAACAATCCAAAATCCAAAAGTCTCCATATAATGCGTAAAAACACAGATAAACACACATACAGCCACATGGCCAACATAGCTATTGATATGGTGAGTCGGCTGATTGACGTGAAATAAATAAGATCCTGAAATATAATTAAACAAAAATGCCTCTATACAATACATGTGATTTCTGTATATAGTGGCTATACACCAGCATCTTGAAATTACTTAAGTCGAAAGATGCAAACAACATATATAGAATAAGCGCGTGAATCGTGCACAAAAAAAATGGGCAATGAGACGTATGAAGCAAAGGAAGGGTGTCTCCACCCAGTCATCTGACGTTCCTTAGCTAAGGGGTCCCGACGTGGCGGCCGCCAACCCGGGGACTTCCTTCAGGGAATGAAGTTTCTCGGACCGACAGCGTTGGAGATTTGCTAACCTATGGTGGGTTAGCCACACCCTAACCCTGAGACTAACCTCGTAAACAATCTCTGGTCGGTTTGATGTAGAAGGGAGCAGTCTAACGACCCTGCGGAGGCTAACGACCTCTGAACTCCGGACATGTCACAGCACCTATTGTCTGCTCTGATGCTCAAGTGGACTGCAGGTCTCACCCCTCCCTAACTCATGAGCATGTCACTCGGACCTTGTCCCAATTAGGTGCGTTGTTGTTAGGATGGCGGCTAGATGGCAGGCAAAACAAATCGTAACCCTCCTCGCTCGGTGAAGAGAAGGTTTCGTGTTTCCTCACGAAAATGGCTTTCTTCTCCCACTCCTCTCAAACCAATTCTTCTCCCAGTCCATGAGTTTAGCCAGATGTTATAAATCGCCAACGCGCGGCTCCGAGAATTCATTCCCTGAAGAAGTCCCCAGTTGAGGACGAAACGTCGGGAAAACTTGCCTAAGAAGTACAGATGATGTGAGAAACCGGCCTTTGGCTTGGTCAGAGCAGGCCACCCCCAACTCTGGATCCTCTTCAGGGTCTTAACGGGGAGGATTTGGCCGCTCCGTTCGCTCCCAAACACCGGGTCGTGGAGCAGGGAGGCTATATACCCGGTCCAGTCAAAAAGCAGCGGGACAGCACCTTTCCTCAACATACGACGTCCTTGTGGGGTGGTGGGCTGGATCATATCTTCAGCCTCAAAGTGGCGAGAATAGACCCGTGTGTTTGACGTAACCTTAAACTGGTCCCTTCTTATTTTCACGATCCACTTTTTTCGCAGTAAAGCATCTCCAGGGAATGTGAAAAAACTTAAAGCAGAGTTAAATCTGGCCGAATTTGAGCATCGTGGAACACAGCAGTGATAACCAGACGTACTTTCCTGTCTCCGTTGAAAAGTAAACGTTGAAACTTTCGACGTCATCTCACACTAAAAACACGATACAACAAAAATAGTCTCTGTAATCAGTAGTAGTCATGGATCTATTATATTAACGGTAGTAGTAGACCGGGTATGACGCGGCGCCGGAAGTGACATCTCATCTGACGCATTTGTGGGCACGGTTCAACAATCTGTGCGCACAGTTTAGTAATCTGTGCGCACAGTTTAGTAATCTGTGCGCACAGTTTAGTAATCTGTGCGCACAGTTTAATCTGTGCGCACAGTTTAGTAATCTGTGCGCACAGTTTAGCAATCTGTGCGCACAGTTTAGCAATCTGTGCGCACAGTTTAACAATCTGTGCGCACAGTTTAACAATCTGTGCGCACAGTTTAACAATCTGTGCGCACAGTTTAACAATCTGTGCGCACAGTTTAGTAATCTGTGACGTTCTGCGCACAGTTTAGTAATCTGTGCGCACAGTTTAGTAATCTGTGCGCACAGTTTAGTAATCTGTGCGCACAGTTTAGTAATCTGTGCGCACAGTTTAACAATCTGTGCGCACAGTTTAACAATCTGTGCGCACAGTTTAACAATCTGTGCGCACAGTTTATTTATTTTTTTACCCCTGGCCCTTGCAGGGCTCCGTAGGAAAGTTAACAAAAAAAAAAAAAAAGTCTCTGCCCCAACGCCAAATGTGACATAACGAGGGTTAAAAGTACAGGTTAAAAATTTTGCTATTGTCAACAACGCCACCTAGGATAGGCCTAGGACCCTGCACAAGGCAGACACAGGTTCGCTTCCCTTTTTAAAGTGATGGGGGCAGAGACAAAACCAAAACCTGACTACAAAAGTACAACATTTATTTTCATTAAAACATTTTTAAGTTAGGAACATTTGATTAATAATGGTAATTGCCAAAAGCCAAACACAAAAAAAACACATGCACACACACACACACACATGCAAAGGACAAAGAAAAAAAAGATTAAACAATCCTAAACTCAATTACAGTTAAAATGTACAAATTTACAGTTTGGGTGTCCAGGTGCTCTGTGGGCCTTATATTGATGATCAGTGTCCACAACTGGAGCGACTCTGGCCTGTGGGGTCAATCCAGAGCAGTGGAGGTAGGAGGAGCTGCGCCGGTGGAAACGGGGCTCAGAATTTGTGTACTTGTGATGATTGGCAGTCTCCAAACTGCCGCGGGAGGTGCAGCTCGGTCCCGCTGAAGTGCAGGGAAGCTGGGGTTAGACCACTAAAGATTAGAATTTGAGTATACATCAGGCAATAACGGCAACTCACCAATCAGAGAAAGCACCGGTCCCCCAGACCCCGAACGGAGGCGCGCTCTCAACCTCCGCTGTGCGTAATTTAGCACCAACTAAATTAAAATGAGCTGTTAGGGTGACTGGGGACAGCCAAATGGGTCAGAGGGAAGATGGCACCATGCTTACCCACAAGTAACGTCTGAGAAGCACAACGGGCTCACACAGGCCCTTCACTAAGGTTTGCCACACTGGAGGAGCTGGCCACACTGGAGCAGGAGGAATTTCCTAGGGCAGCGCTCACGCCGCACAAGCCCACATACGTGCCAACAGGGCCACCAACCACTGTGTGAGGCTCCCCACCAGCACAACTCCACGGACCCAAAGAGACTGCTGCTTCCCGCAGGAGTGGCAAAAGAGTGAGCGCCCTCAGGCTCAGGCTTAAAAAAAAAACAACCCACAGGTCCTGCCCCTGCAATTAGTGGCAGGCAGGTGCGTGAGGTGGTGTTTCAATGAAACAGGTAAGGGGAGGGCAGACGCACTCCACACTGCTACACATGCATAAGCATTCCATCTCCAAGCTGCATTGGGCTGTTTACCTTTCACTGGCCCCGCCCCCAAGCGACAAAAGTATTTCAACACGCGCAGAACACAGACCACGAGAAGGAGGAGAGGGCAGGTCACGAGCGCGCACACGCGCGTATTGTGGCTTGTAGTACTGAGTCTGCGCGCGGGTGTGGTGTGAAATATGCTCGTGGAGAGTAGTTTACGGGCGTGTGAATTACATAAAGCTGCGCGTGTATGTTTTAATTGCGCGTGTGGACTTTTGGCGTAAATCTGGCGCCATAGAAGGGCCCCGGAGTGCGGGGGCTCTCACTCGTGCTGTTACGAGGCCCTTCATATCCGGAATCACCCATTTGATTGGTTGTTAAAGTTGTCACTTGCTGTCTCCCATGATCCTCATACGTTACGTCCTTACGTCGCACTTTCAACCCTCCCCTCCCTCCCCCTTGTTGTTGTCAGTCGCACAGCCACAGCAGGGGCAGAGACGCTGAAGCAGAGTGATGAAAAAAGGAAAAAAGACAGCGAACTGCGGGAACAACAGACGGGTAAAAAAAACGTGTGGTTCCCGACCCGACGCATTGACTGTCTGCAAAGAAAGTTGAATATTGTGTCTGACATGTTTTATTTCTGCTTTTAACGAGTCCCAAAACAACTTCATCAGTCAAGCTCTTTGTTGTGGTTAAGTGGTGGACACCTTCAAAATAAACGTGCTTCCTTTGATAATCGGAAGTATTTTGTTACATTTGTAATTTAGATTTTAGACATAAGACTAACAGTGTTTGTATAATGCGCTACTAATATTAATATTAAGGTAATATATTAATACTAGTGGTGATAATAATGAAACTAGTTATTATTTTTATTTTATATAAAATGTATGTATGTATATATATATATATATATATATATATATATATATATATATATACTTATATTATAGCTAATATTTGTATTTTGTTTATTTTTGTATTTTAACATGTTTGTACACTTGTCTTTTGTACACAATTTATTCTATCCGTGCCAAATGTGACATGAACATTTCTCCTGAGTGAGATCAATAAAGTCTTACTTATCATATCTTTAATCGTGTGTGAAAAGTTCAAATGTTTTTTTATCTTCGGTTGAATCCATCACTAATCAAGTCTTATATCGCTTGATTACTGTGAATTATTTATTTGTAATATATATGTGTAATGGAACTGCTTGCTTTAATTTTTATGGTTTCTTGAGTTAGGTGTATAGGGCCCCTATGCTGACTTCTGCTTAGGGCCCCAACAAGGCAAGCACCAGCTCTGATCACTTCACCTCCAGCTCCTTCTCTTCATACATCACTTCACCTCCAGCAGACACCACCTCCTTCTCCTCCACAGAACATCCACACAGGCTCACGGACATGACCCAAAGCTCAATCAATAATCAAGTAGACTTCTCAGAATATTTATTTATTTGCCATCTGTAGTAAAGCCACATGGGAATACATCTACAAACGTCCCCAGTGTGTGTGGCAAGCTGGACTTGGCTACCATATTTCTGTCCAGTAGAGGGCGCATACGGACAGTATAAATAGCTTCGAGTCGCCTCTTTGTTTACAGTACCTCTGTACTTACGTCTCCTGTGGGTCGTTACGCCCGCCCTTCTCCTGCTCCAGGTAGTAGAGTTTTAGTGTTAATTCTAACATTTGTATGTTGCAGCCACTAATGTTAACTGTTGTTGTATTGCCGCGGTGTGGCATTGTGCCCCGCGAATCATACTTCTGTGTAGCCATGCTGTCCTGTCACTTTGGCGTCTGGCCGCCCTCGTTGCTGGGGTCCGAGCGTGTTGTAGCCGGCTGTGGGTCTGGCCTTTAAACCTTCACTCGTCTTTATCTTTTTTTAATAATTTTTTTTTTTATCAAATATGTATGTACTGATGAAAACAAGTCAATGGAACTCCTCATTATTTTATTTTTTTCTCTTTCATTTCATTTTTAAAGAATTTATTTGTAAATTATGGTGGAAAAAAAGTATTTGGTCACTTCAAACAAGGAAGATCTCTGGCTCTCACAGACCTGTAACTTCTTCTTTAAGAAGCTCTTCTGTCCTCCACTTGTTACCTGTATTAATGGCTCCTGTTTGAACTCGTTATCTGTATAAAAGACACCTGTCCACAGCCTCAAACAGTTAGACTCCGAACTCCACTATGGCCAAGACCAGAGCTGTCGAAGGACACCAGGAAAAGAATTGTAGACCTGCACCAGACTGGGAAGAGTGAATCTACTATTGGCAAGCAGTTTGATGTGAACAAATACACTGTGGGAGCAATTATCAGAAAATGGAAGACATACAAGACCACTGATAATCTCCCTCGATCTGGGGCTCCAAACAAGATCTCATCCTGTGGGGTCAAAATGATCATGAGAACGGTGATCAAATATCCCAGAACCACACGGTGGGACCTGGTGAATGACCTGCAGAGAGCTGGGACCAAAGTAACAAAGGGTACCAACAGAAACACACTACAACGACAGGGAATCAAATCCTGCAGTGCCAGACGTGTCCCCCTGCTGAAGCCAGTGCATTTTCAGGCCCGTCTGAAGTTTGCCAGAGAGCACATGGATGATACAGCAGAGGATTGGGAGAATGTCATGTGGTCAGATGAAACCAGTAGAACTGTTTGGTATAAACTCAACCCGTCGTGTTTGCATGAAGAAGAATACTGAGTTGCACCATACCTACTAAGCGTGGGGGTGGAAACGTCATGCTTTGGGGCTGTTTTTCTGCTAAGGGGACAGGACGACTGATCCGTGTTAAGGAAAGAATGAATGGGGCCATGTACATGTATCGTGAGATTTTGAGCCAAAACCTCCTTCCATCAGTGAGAGCTTTGAAGATGAAACATGGCTGGGTCTTCCAGCATGACAATGATCCCAAATACACCGCCCGGACAACGAAGGAGTGGCTCCGTAAGAAGCATTTGAAAGTCCTGGAGTAGCCTAGCCAGTCTCCAGACCTCAACCCCATTGAAAATCTGTGGAGGGAGTTGAAAGTCTGTGTTTACTGCTCTTGAGAAGATCTGCATGGAGGTATGGGCCAAAATACCAGCTACTGTGTTTGCAAACCTGGTAAAGACCTATAGTAATCGTTTGACCTCTGTTATTGCCAACAAAAATTATATTACAAAGTATTGAGTTGAATTGTTGTTATTGACCAAATACTTATTTTCCACCATAATTTACAAATACATTCTTTAAAAATCCTATAATGTGAATTCCTGGATTTTTTTTTTCACATTCTGTCTCTCAAAGTTGAAGTGTACCTATGATGAAAATTACAGACCTCTGTCATTATTTTAAGTGGGAGAACTTGCACAATCGGTGGCTGACTAAATACTTTTTAGCCCCACTGTATTTGCACATAATGTATGAATAAGACAATGGGGTGTGGGTGTACGCACCGCTGCATGCATGAAGGAGATATACATACATTCATATTCATTTTTGTAATATATATGTGTATGAGCATATGTGTTTGTGTGTATGTATAATTTATTTTTTTCACCCCCCTTTTCTTTCTCATCTTTTTAGCTATTTTTTTTCTATTATTAATTTTTTGTTTTATGTGTAGTATGATTATTAGTATTAAAATTAGGTTTTAATATTTTTTTTATGTAATCATTATGGAGTCATTGCTCTCTCCCTTTTGCCCTGTACTATCTGCGGGCGCGCTCCTGTCACTCTCCCTGTGCGAGGCCCGATTCTTCCCCGCAGAATGCAAACAATGGTGCGGTAAATTTAACTATTGATACTATTGATACTATTGATTGATTACTATTCCTAAATGTGTGTTTTTCTCACCTGTCTCTATTATGCTCGGTCCCTTTGTCCCCTATTTGTATTGTGATGTGATGTATTGTGATGCTTGCCCTGTCTTCCCACCCCCACATCCCACCTTTTTCTCTTCACCTAATTTTGTGTTACACCTTCTGTCCAGTTTTTGCACTTACAAAATATGTTCTATTACCCCGCATCACCTGATAAATCATACAGCTGTCTTTTTGAACGCAACAAACACACTTCTGCATGCATGCTCTTAAAATCATAACATGGAATGTACGTGGCTTCCGTACCACCTCAAAAAGAACAAAAATAGTTAATCACTTATCAAAATTGAAGGCTGACATATGCTTTTTACAGGAAACTCACTTAACACAACCAGAATCACAACAACTCACACTTAAAAACTATAAGCACGTTTTCTCATCCACATTTAATAGTAAACAAAAAGGCGTGTCAATCCTATTCCATGAAAACATCCCAATTATGCATGAATCAACTCATACAGACCCAGATGGAAGGTATATTATAATCAAAACTACCATTAATCACATCCCATACACATTTGCAAATATTTATGCACCAAATAACGATGACCCACAGTTTTTTCATAATGTTTTCTCCATTCTCCAAAACCACAGTAACATCATTCTTGCAGGGGATTTTAATACTGTTACTAGCCCTTCACTAGACCGCTCAAGTACTCCGGGTGGCACAAGACATTCTCACTCAGCAGAAGTAATAAAACAGTACATTCAGAACTATGGACTCAATGATAGTTGGAGAATGAGAAACCCCACGCACCAACAGTACACATACTTTTCTCCTCACCATCAATCATACTCCAGGATTGACATGTTCCTTATCAGTAACTCGCTTACCAAATATATAACTGAAAACACAATACATCCAATTATAATCAGCGACCATGCACCCGCCTCCTTGACAATATTTACTCAACTGAACACAAATAAACAACAGTCAAGATGGCGACTAAACACATCTCTCCTAGAAGACGCAGAATTCAACACATTAATACGGAGAGAGTGGGCTTCCTTCCTAGAGACGAACGACTCTCCAGACATCTCCCCATCACTCCTTTGGGAAACGGGAAAAACAGTTCTCCGAGGCACAATCATTTCCTTCTCCTCGCACAAGAAAAAAATCCAAAGAGAATTAGAAAACACTATTGAACAAAAAGTCAAACTACTCTCTCAGCAACACGTCGCAAACCCAAACAGACAATTGGAAAAAGAATTGAATGAAGCAAAGGAACAACTCAATCATATAATAAACCAGAAGACAGATTTTATTATCCAGCAACTAAAATATGAACAATTCCATTATAGCAACAATAACAGTAAACTTCTAGCAAACTTACTACAGCAAAAAAAAGAAAGATCAATCATCACCTCACTACAAGATGAATCCGGTATTATAACACAAGACCCACAAGAGATAAACAATATTTTTCAACAATATTACAGAAAATTATACACTTCGGACAGGACGCCAGATACCACGACAGTAAAACAATTCATGGACACGCTAAACTTACCCACACTTACACTCGAACAAGTTGACCTATTAGATGCACCACTCACCGCAAATGAAATACTAAAAGCCTTAAATTCGATGCCAAATAATAAATCACCTGGACTTGACGGATATCCAGCCGAATACTACAAACATTTTTGGGATGTCTTATCACCACTCTTCATGAGAGTAATAGCAGAAATCAAATCAACTTCTATAATACCCACATATATGAATACAGCTACTATCACTCTGATACCGAAACCAAACAAAGACCCAACACATCCATCCAATTATCGTCCAATCTCACTGATAAACACAGATCTTAAAATGATAACTAAAACGCTTGCAACAAGAATAGAAACAGTCATACCTTCACTCATCCACCCAGACCAAACCGGATTCATCAAAAACAGACACGCATCAGACAATCTCAGGAAACTCTTCAATATAGTCCATAATGCTCAACAAAAACAACAAAATAAAACCATTATTCTCTCACTAGATGCTGAAAAGGCATTTGACAAGGTCAACTGGAAATTCCTCATTAATACTTTACAGAAATTTGGTTTTGGAGAGTCGTTCGTCCAATGGATTCAGACACTTTACTCCTCACCTAGAGCCACAGTCACCACCAACGGCATTACCTCACCTAACTTCACGTTACACCAAGGAACCCGGCAGGGTTGCCCACTCTCTCCATCCCTCTTTGCCTTATTCATTGAACCTTTAGCAACAGTTTTACGGAGTAATAATGAAATTCAAGGGATCAAACAAGGAAACACTGAATACAAAATCAGCCTTTATGCAGACGACTTATTATTATAATTGCAACACCCACGTATTTCACTGCAAGAAACATTTAATACAATCAAAAAGTTTTCATCTATTTCGAATTACACAATAAACTGGACTAAATCAACCATACTACCACTAACCAAAGATGCATGGGATTCTGCAACTCAAAAATCATTTCCCTCCCTTCAGGCAAACAATATCAAATACCTGGGAATCACAATCTCCCCCAGGCTGTCAGAGCTCTTCAACCTTAATTACACCCCACTACTTAAAAAAATTGAAGACTCTTTAAAATGCTGGAATAACCTCCCATTGTCATTATTAGGCCGTATTGACACAGTCAAAATGAAAATTCTACCCCAAATCACATACCTATTTACAATGATCCCCATCACACCCACTGCTAACTGGTTTAAATCATTAAACTCTATTACAACACAGTTCTACTGGAGAAATGAAAGACCACGGATATCTCTTGCAACACTACAAAACGGAAAAATACAGGGTGGACTTGAAGCCCCAAACTTTATTCGCTATTTTTATGCCACTCAACTACAATATCTACACATTTGGATTTATAACAAAAAACATAACAAGCAATGGATTCAATTAGAACAAGACCAATGCAAAACACCCATAGCAGATCTCCCTTTTTTACCAGAATCAATAAAAAAACTCCCATATTTCAAATCTCTCACAATCTCGACGACTCTGACAGCCTGGTGGAAAGTTAACAAGATCACAAACTCTCTACTATCACCATGTAAACACACCCCTATCTGGCACAACCCCGACTTTCAATTGCAAAACTCACCCATTTATTTTCCACTGTGGCATGAAAAGGGCATTTCTCACCTTCAACATCTCTTTGAAAACCATACATTCATAGCATTCAACACACTCATTCAGAAGTACGGAATTGGGAGAGAGCAATACCTCCAATACCACCAACTCAAAGGCTTAATTAAGAATAAAACTAAACTATCAGAAAATGCATTACAACCCTCAACACTAACCGATAAAATTCTGAATATAAAAAGTTCAAAAAAGATCACCTCTAAAATATACAAGTTAATCTCGTCAATAAACCCTCAGTTAACACTACCAGCAGAAAAATGGCAGCAAGATTTGAACTTCTCTCCTGATCCCTGCTTCTGGAACAACATTTGTAGAAACACTTTCCTCACCACAAACACTAACATTCAGCTAACCCAATATAAAACCATTCATCGATATCACCTGACACAGAACCGGCTGAATAAAATGAAATTAGTAGACACAGACATTTGCACACATTGCAATCAGGATAGTACAGACACGTATTTACATGCCACTTGGAACTGTCCCCGGTACAAGCACTCTGGATTGCAATAACAGATAAACTCTCCTCCATATTGAGTTGCAGAATCCCTTTAAATCCATTACTGTGTCTTCTAGGAGATATCACACAAATAGACCTACCACATGAATATCATTCTCCTCTCCTCATCTCTCTTACTCTCGCTAAGAAGGTTATATACCAAAACTGGAAAAACAAAAACACTTGCAATATCAACCACTGGACCAACATACTCAGAGACCATATTTTATTAGAAAAACAAACAGCAGAGAAGCAGAAGCATATGGCGGCCTTCACTAAATCATGGACTCTATTCATAAATAACCTCAGACCACCGCACCTCAAGACACAGAAAACACCTTCCTAGAATTATTGCTTACACTAATAGCAATGTATTGTATTGTTGTTGTTATTATTATGATTATTATTATTATTTACATATGTGTGCGTGTGTGCGCGTGTGTGTGGGTGTGTACGGGTTATAGACATTGACACGGTAATATCATGACACTGCCCGTCTGTGCCAGCCCGGTTTAGATGCGGATAAAGGCTGACATCTACCAGTGTCCTGCGCTCCGCTGTCCTCTGGGGGCCCCGCAGTTTCTGGGGAGGTTACCATGCCCAGGCTCTTTTTTTTTTAATGCATCACATAGATTTAGACTGATTTAGGGGGAGAAGAAGGAAAAATAAATAAATTAAAATAAAATTTATGTAAAACTGTCAATAATCAAAACACTGGAGACACTTTATTACAAACACGTTTCCTCCAAATAGCTACAGAGAGAGTTCAGAGCAAAGTCTGCCTCCTGCAGAGAGCGCCCCCCTGTGGAGAACCTCTGAGCAGCTTCAAAGACCCGCTCTCTCACCTGCTCCACACTCTCTGACTCAGACTAAGACTCAGACTCAGACTAAGACTCAGACTCAGACTAAGACTCAGACTCAGACTCAGACTCAGGCTCAGGTTCAGACTCAGGCTCAGGCTCAAACTCAGGCTCAGGCTCAGACTCAGACTCAGACTCAGACTCAGGCTCAGACTCAGACTCAGACTCAGGCTCAGGCTCAGACTGCCCCCGATGCGAGAGGAGAGAGGACAGAAACCATTGCAGCTCCAGAGACTCGGGAAATGTCCAAAATGTTGCTGAGAAAATACACTTTCATGTTTTTGGAGTCAAATTCACATGAAGATGAAGAGATCCTTTGTGCGTCCCACTGTGAGGAAATGTCAGTGTTGCATCATCAGTTACAAAACACTGGGAATGAATTAAATCTAATCTCAGTCTTTGCACAAGCTGCTTTAGTTTGTTATTGTGGTGGTAATTCCCTCTGCAGCCAGGAGAGGGCGGCATAACACTGTGTCCGTGTGTCTGCTGTTTACAGTCTGCATCAGGGGTCTCCAACCTCCTCCTCCAGAGAACTGCTGTATCAGAACAAAATGATGAATGAGAGAGAAATCCACACACAGGCCTTAAAACTAAATGTTTGATATTGGACAAACAGTTTTAGTCTGTATTCCATTACTTCCATAAGATAAGATCGAGATTATTGATCTCTGATTGAGAAATGTACAGGTCACATTTGGCACAGACAGAATCAGGCAGAAGTGTGAAACGTGTTTAAGGTTAGAAATATAGTCTGTGCAGGATATAAATATGTACGATAAAAATGTGGCAATAAAAGTAGAGTGGCAATAGCAGTGCAGGTTTTATTTTCTTTCAGTCCTAGTGCATTAGTGACTCATTGTACAGTCTGACAGCGGTGGGGTAATAACTACAGCTGAGGTGGGAGAGTCTGTCCATAGGACAACAATCAGTCGTGCACTGCACAAATCTGGCCTTTATGGAAGAGTGGCCATTTCTCAAAGATATCCATAAAAAGTATCTTAAAGTTTGCCACAAGCCACCTGGGAGACACACCAAACATGTGGAAGAAGGTGCTCTGGTCAGATGAAACCAAAATCAAACTTTTTGGCCACAATGCAAAACGATATGTTACGATATGCGTAAAAGCAACACAGCTCATCACCCTGAACACACCATCCCTAACTCAGCTGTAGTTATCTGCAGTTCATCCAGAGTGATCATGGGCCTCTTGGCTGCATCTCTGATCAGTCTTCTCCTTGTTTGAGATGAAAGTTTGGAGGGACGGCCGGGTCTTGGTAGATTTGCAGTGGTCTGATACTCCTTCCATTTCAATATAATTGCTTGCACAGTGCTCCTTGAGATGTTTAAAGCTTGGGAAATCTTTTTGTATCCAAATCCGGCTTTAAACTTCTCCACAACAGTATCTCGGACCTGCCTGGTGTGTTCCTTTGTCTTCATGGTTCTCTCTGCGCTTTAAACAGAACCCTGAGACTATCAAAGAGCTCCTCGCAGCTCTCCTCGCAGCTCTCCTCGCAGCTCTCCTGTCCCTCGGAGATCACGGTGGACCCGGAGGGGAGCTACCACGGCAGCACCACGGAGGAGGAGGGCAGCTATAGCAGCAGCCTGGCCCCTCTGCGCCCGGTGCACGCACACGCACACCCGCTGAAGAGCTTCGCAGTCCCCGCCATCCCCCCGGGAGCCCACCCCTCCTACGAGAACCCCGCCCTGCCCTGCACGCCCCTGCTCACACAGAGCGGTACGAGACCGAGACAGAGACCGAGACTTAGACTCACTGGGGTCTCATGAAGAAGGAGACTAGGGGAAGATAGACACATGTAAAGTTATGGTCCTGAGTTAGCCCACAATAGATCCAGGACTGAGGCTGTAGACCCAGGACTGAGGCTGTATAGACCCAGGACTGAGGCTGTATAGACCCAGGACTGAGACTGTAGACCCAGGACTGAGGCTGTAGACTCAGGACTGAGACTGTATAGACCCAGGACTGAGGCTGTAGACCCAGGACTGAGGCTGAGTTTACACGGAGACAATGTGGCAGTAAAACGGTATAGTTGGATGTCGGTTGCTACCAACCGTTCATACGAAGACTGTGTTCCAGGTGAAAACGTAAGTGTTCAGATCCAGCCTGCAGAGTGGGACAACTCAGAAACGCTGCACAGCGGGGGCTCTCTTTCACACCAGCGAGAGGGGAAAAGGTGTGAAATCCCCCTCTGCTCTGACCCCCACCTCCGCGCTGCTCCCCGCACGTACATTTGGACATGCGCAGTAGCGGAGAACAAACGTAAACAATAATGGCGGCCGGTAAACTAACTAGCTTCGTGGGCTTCCAGCGCTGCACAGAGGATAATTCTACTCCTTCGTTCGTTCAAACGAGACCACGCGAAGCTCTAGGTTCAGTTTCCATTTTCACAGCTGCTGTTAAAATGCAGAATGAATGTTGGTTTTCTAAGATTTTGGGCACGGGGAGTTTGGTGCCCACTACTGGCCGGGATCGTTTTTCAAGTGAAACAGGCCTATAGTTTTAAATATATGTTTGTCTCCAGATTTAAGCAGGGGGAATTACTGGCTACTTATCATGGTTGGGGAAATTATCCAGTTTGTAGTGATAAATTACATATGTGTTTAAATGGCTTTGAAATACCCGCAAAAAGACTCTTTAAGGCAGGGGTGCCCAACTGTGGGGCCCGCGGGCCAAAGTTGGCCCGCCAGACCATTTCAGTTGGCCCGCCAAACATTGCCCACCTCCGCTGTAAGTTTCTAACTGCGTCCCTCAACCTCACTGAACAAACAGTGACATGTCTGAGATCGCGCGGGCGCAGAGTCACCCTCTGAATTCCGATTGTCCAGTACTCAAGTGTTGTATCGAGATACACTCCTCACTCATGGTTCACATCAACTTGCACTAAAATGTTTTTTAAAATCAAACACATCTTTCAAAACAATTGGGTGCAAGGCCCCTTTATGTTCTTTTTTTTCAGCCTACTATTATTATTTTTTGGAGCTATTTAATGTTTTATAAAATTGAGAGGATTGTGCTGCCGAACTGCCACTCCCCCTCCTCACCGGAGGGAAATGGCGAGTGGAACTATTCACCTGCGCAATCCGCACCCACCCGGTGTGTTAAAAAGGACGGACACAAACACTTCAGAGTGAGTTCAAGCAGACAGGGATCGCAGCACACGATCCACGCAAGTAGAAGCAACAAATACTGTGCAAAACAAACCCTTCTACAACCCCATGAAAGAAGCCGGTAAGCGCCGTCCTCACTCGCGATCATTGAATGTCAGAACTTACGCGGAGTTTTATGATGCGTTCAAGAGCCCTTTGGAGGAGCGGAAACTCGGACTCTTTGACAGTTACTTTGTTTTGATTGTTTATAAATGTTGTACTGTGTTTAGGCAAAACAAAACAAAACTCCAGGAACAAATCATGGTTAACTAGTCTGATTTCGTTAGTTTAATATTCAGTTCACTACTAATTGAGAATACTTGCCCTATGTTAAAACAGAGTTAAAACCTGATCATGTTTAGAAAATGCAGTTAGCAATTATGTTCCCAAATTCATTACTTAATGTTAAAATGTATTGTTTAAAAGTGTGCTAAAACCAGATCTATTGATCAGTGATGTCTCCCCTTTTTGATAAAAGCTAAGATAAAGTAATATGATTTAAATGTAGTTAAAAACTTTTGTTCAAAATAAATATATGAAAATAGACTTGGAAATTGCTTTGGCTCAGTGCAACAGAGATAATAAAAATAAAGAATAAAAAACACTTTAAAATAGAGTTACAGTTACTATTTACAATATACAAGTGCACATGGTGCACACAAAATGTATGTTTCTGTTCTCTTTTTGAGGTTTTATTATATGATTTTAACCTTTAAATAAGCCATGACAGAAAATCTCCCTCCTCTGGACCCTGATTACCCGGCCGGAATCTTTCCGTACTGTAGTCTCCTCAAACCAGCATATTTCCCTGGAGTCTCCACTTCACTAAGACTGTGTTGATTTCATTCATTCAGCTGTGATTTGCACTGATAGACAATAATTAATGCATTTAAAAGAACTTGATCAAATCTACATTTATTTGTGTTTCATGCATAATATTGGTGTATTTGGCCCGCGGCCCACTGGCAAATTTTTACTTTGGCCCTTGGAAGCAAAAGGTTTGGGCACCCCTGCTTTAAGGTCTTCATGTCCAAATCGCAGTAGTCCGTCGATGTTTTGTTTTTAAACCCTCTCACTATATTTATTAACTCATTTTCTTCTACAGGTTTCAGAAACAGTGAACTTGGGTTGGTTTCTATTTGATAGCAGGAGTCTTTCTCAACATTTGTGATGTTAGCAGCCAGGTTTGGACCAACATCAACAAAGAATTTATTAAACGTTTCAACTACTTCATTCATATTAACTATGGTTTTATCCTTGTCTTTAAAATATTGTGGATGATTTATCATTCTGGGCTTATTTCTAATTATTTTATTTAATATATTCCATAACCCTTTAATATTGTTTTTATTCATTTCTAGCAAGTTATTATAATAATTCTTTTTGCAGTTTCTAATAATATCAGTGAGTTTATTTTTATATTTCTTATATTTCTCTTCAGCTTCTTTGTTTCGTTTTTGAACAAAGTTTTTGTAAAGATAATCCTTTCGTCATCCATGGGTTTTGATCTTTCTTTTTTTACTGTATTTTTTTACTGGACAATTTTTATCATATGCTTCTTGAAACACTTTCACAAACTCCTCATACGCCTTGTTACAATCACTCTCTAAGTAAATATTGCTCCAATCATTCATCAGTAGCTCATTTTTAAATGCTTCAACTGTTTTATCTGTTTTTACTCTTTTACACAGAAACATGTTTTCATCATTATTTTTTAGGTTGTCATTATCATACAGTGCAAAGACAGGAAGGTGGTCACTAATATCATTTATCAAAAGTCCGCTGATAGTTTTACATTCTATATCGTTTGAAAAAATATTGTCTATTACTGTTGCACTGTGGGTTGTGATTCTGCTTGGTTTAGTGATCAATGGAAACAGTCCTAAACTAAATATAGTGTTTATAAAGTCGTCCGTTTTTTTATGTTTGTTTTGGTTTAATAAATCAATATTTAAATCCCCCCCCCACGAACATAGACTTTTGACTGGAGCTGGTGAAGTGCTCCTCCATCCAGTTAGAAAAAAAATCTAAGTCTGAGCCAGGTGCTCTGTATATACAACTAACAAGAATACTTTTATTATTTTCTCTTTTGATTTCAACTGTAAGACACTCTAAAATATCATCCACTGCCATTGTCTTATTTTCAATCACTTTATGATTAAAATGTGAGTTAATGAACATAGCCACCCCCCCCACCCTGCTTATTTAATCTGTTTTTACTGATGAAATCATACCCCTCCATGTAAAAACATTATGGGTCGAGTCATCTGTGTTTTACAACAAAATATTGCTAAATTAGTGTTGTTAATTTCTACAGTCTACAGCTTCTTTCTGTTAGCTTAATGTCAACTTTGAGAAAATGTGTTTTTGGTGTAAATATGTGACTACATTATTTGGTCCGAAGACTGAGAATGGGGATCAACTTTGTTCAAAGGGATCTGCCTCTGAAACACGTAAGTCTGAAATTTGCATCAAAACTCGCAGATGTTTCAAGATAAACTAAGTTTACCTTGAAACGGGACCTACTCAAAAGCTGATCTAGAAACCTGGTATTATTCCAACGTAAAAGTCGCTAACAGGAGCCTGGGTCTGTGAATACAATGCAACTAACTCTCTGTATGTCACTGTGAACTAAATAATTAGGGTCCAATTGTAGATCGAGTACATAGGGCAGGCATGTCCAAACCATAGACTGTAAACATTAACGTACGTAGTAACGCCTATCTCCGCCGTTCTAACTAATGTGCCACCACTTCCGCGGTCTATGGGAAAATGTGAAAAAACGCATGTGCGCATGAGTCTCCTTTGCTTTTTTAAATTTATACCAATGCATTACAAGTTCATGAGGAATCTTTTAAACTTTTTAATTATGCCGATGATATGGCTCTGGTTGCTTTACTACAGAAAGGGAACACTGTATTTTAATCATTTGTCCATGTTACAGCAGTGGTGTGTGGACAGCATTTTAGAAATCAATGTTTTGAAAACAAAAGAGCTCATCGTGCACATTGATAAAGAGACATTGATAGAAGTGAAGATTCATGGTGCCAATGTTGAGATGGTTGAGAACTTCAAATACCTTGGCACGTACGTGGGAGACTTGTCTTTTGAGAGAACACAGACTTCATTTTCAAGAAATGCTCACAATGACTGTATCTGCTTCGCAAACTGAATAATTTTGGTGTGAGTCGTTCTATCCTTGAGACGGTCTACAAGAGTCTGGTGGAGAGCATCCTCACTTTTAACATGCTGATGTGGTTTGGCAACCTCAGCATGAAGAACCAAAACATACTCCAAAGGATCGCAAACCAGAGCTCGAAGATCATTGGGCAGCCACAAAGTTCTCTCCACTGTTGGTTCGAGGAGCGCTTGGGAAAGAAGGCTGAGCTCATCATCAATGATGCTTCCCATTCGCTAAACTGAAAGTTTGAACTTCTGCCGTCAGGACAGAGATATTGAGTGATATCAGCCAAGATTTTTTTTTTTTTTTTACTCCTTTGCACCTAGAGCAGTGAAAGCGGCAAACACTCTTATGGTGCTTTCAGACCGCCAACGCGAAACGCTGAAGCCCCGCTCACCAGACGCGCATTCTCTAGTTTTCAGACGCAGGGGTCTTCACACAGAGATGTCCTGACGCGTGCCGGAAGTAGCCGGCAGGCTAAAACAGAGTTTAGCTAGCGGCTTCTTGTGTACAGATCTTCTCCAATATGCAGCTTTGCAGCGTGTCTTTGCTCACAGACATTCCACGGGCTTTATACAACAGTAGTATGTGTTCACGGAGGTGCGCCATACGTTTTTTCATATTATTCAACGGAATTTCCGCATCGGCAAACACACTCGACACAGTTGCATAAGGTCACGGGAGCATGACAACGCATATTTTCACAAGCACACAGTCCCCCATTGTCAACCCTGGTTTGAGTTCTGGTGAAGCCTGCTGTGGGTCCTGTTTTGGCGGTTTTATGAGTATTTTCAGTCTGCTCGCTCAGTCCATTAATGTCCCCGTGACCACTTTGCTGCTCTCTGATTGGTTGTCGCATGAACGTCCCAAGGAAAGGATGAGCAGAATCCATCTCCTGTGGGCGTCGATTTTTCGCTCCTGCTCCTCCCCTTTGACTTTCCCGCCAAGTCTGTGCGTGTCTACTGTACAGTCCGTCCGTGCGTGCCGAGAGGTCCGTGCGTTGTGACGCACAAACGCTCGTCACCATAGACAACGCATGATCCGGTCTGAAAGCACCATTAAGCTTCGAGAGGTCCTGAGGTTGACTCTGGTCTTTGGGCCGGATGAGGCCTTGTTGGCGATTCTGTTCCCAGTTAGTTCTTCCAATTTATGAATGTAGTGCCACATGATATTTTGCCGGATGTGTGTCTTTTATGTATTTTAAGGTGACAACTAAAGACAATTTTCCACCTTGGTGGACAATAAAGTTTTCATATTCGTATTCTTTTTCAGCCGGCACGAGCGGCATTCATTTGACGAGTGCCTTCAAGATTTCACAGTGACTAAACTAGACTGGTCCAAAAAAATTCACTCCCCTCAGCACTGACACATGTGGAACGGAGCTTTGGGCCATGAGCCGACTTTTGGTCCATCCTGTAAAGACGTTTTCGAGAGGTGAGAAGATGCTACATGTTAGCATTGGCTAATTCTTATTCCGGGTCCACCCCCGTCGGCCGGGGTGGTATTCCAAGCATGTCAGCGCACATCATTTGGGCCACTTTTGAGCCGGAACCCGCCCCCACTGGTCCAAATGGCCCGTGGGCCATTTGCGGCCCTCTGTGCCATTTTATGTGGCCCTCTGCTGCTAACACAAAGTTGCCATTGAGGCACTTTGATAGTGTCATCCAACCAACTTCAGCTCCGCCGATACAGTCAGGCTATGTTGTTGTAAATCTCAGACCCTCTGGAATCCAGTTGTTGACTCTTTAGTCACATTGTCACAACAAGCTGTGAATTGATAAGGACGTATCATAGATAGATAGATAGGAGAAATTCAGGTGTCCATCAACAGAAGACTCATCCAGGTATCATAACCCATTTCAAATTCCAGAATTCAATCCAGTCAATCCAGTTTTTATATCCAGGTTGTTGGCCCAGGTCAAGTTTGATGAACTAAACTGGCCTTCTTACTAAAAAGTTTGGACACCCCGACATACGGCTCTATATAAAAGGTCGCCATTGTTGGAAAAAGTTATTCTCGGGCCTGATATAATGTAACAGCAACAGCTGTAAAGTTAGCTTTTGCTAACCTCGACCTTTGCAAGAGGCTACGTCCTCTTCTCTGGATCAGCTCGTTCCAATAGAGGTGACATCAACTATATGCCCGAAATGCCTCAAATGTTTGAGTGTTGTATGGTGTATCACCCAAATTATTATCACACATTTTGACAAAGTTGAATTTTAAGCTTTAAAACTATCTTTTGTAGCACAATATTATGTTGCTAATCCCTTTATTGTTATTAAATTATTACAATTATTCACATATTCACTAGCATCCTCAAGGCACACAGTGGGAAACCATAAAGTTTTTGCATGTAGTCTCTGGCCCCAGTGAATTACCCCCACCAAGTCAAAAACATATCTCTCAGCTAAAGACTGGTTCAAACATCAGGATGATAAGATTCTCTCCTTCTGACAATCTTAGAAACGACATAAGGACCGCTCCCATCTGGAATCAGGGAAATTCAACATGTTGGATTGTTGTGGCCAGATTTATCTTTTTGTGTGGTCTTCCGACATGTAGCCAATCATAAAGAGATCAAAATCATACCACAGTCCATTCAGTAACAGTGCAATCCATGCTCGCCTTTTGTCTCCTTTTGACCAATGCCATTATAGTTACAAAAAAATGACAAAACTGTTATCACTTCCTGCATCATGTTATTGACTCTGAAATAGCATTTTCTTCAAGAGGTTTTTTGGGACTCTCCGTTCGACCGGGGAATTTTGAAGAATGAGATCTCCTTGTGTGTCTAAATAGGTTCTAAGGCAAAAGTGTCTTTCCTAAACACAGTGCTAATAGTTTTGCACTGAATAAGTCCTGTCACATGAGCTCAAACGCTACTACAGCATTCGTCCTGTTGGATTACATCATGCAAGAGATCAGAGCTGAGTCTGCAGTCCTGGATTCATGCGCCCGTCAGACATATACACACGCGCACACACGCACACACACACACACATACACACACACATACACACACACAAGCGCACACACATACACCTGCAGATGACTCCCCCAGTGACCACTGCTCCTGACAGAATGGCCCATGTGGCATTGGAATGATGGATCAGAAGCAGAGGACACATTTCCCTATGGGGATAATAAAGTGTATCTCTATTGAAACTTTATGGCAGAAGATTCTAAAAGATGTATTTCCGCTGTAATAATTCTATCTATTACAGCTGGAGTCTAAAACTGACAGCTCAGGTGCTATTACTAGTCCACCACCCTCTTCTATGTTGCTCTATGAAAATACAAATGAATATTTTTTAAATTGTACAACTATAGTCTTTTGAGCATAAATAAAAGATTAATATATGACTATAACCTAATCTATAAGCTAACTGAACCTGATCTAAGGCAAGCGCACCATTATGTATAAGAAGTAGTTCCGCTCGGGATCAGGTTGGAGACATGTGTCAGATGCACTACTCATCATAGGCAGTGCTTTATTTTTTCTACAAGCTGACATTTCGAACTCTTAAACAAGAAAGGTCAAATCATATTTACTCAAGACCAGGGGTAGGGAGCAAACATAAATCGCAGTGAATCACATATTTCTCTTGTCCTTGTGTTGAAGGCATGATGTGGGCCACTCACTCCACGCTCCTGCTGCTGCTGCTGTGCTGCCGTGAGCTGACCGAGGCCAAGGACAAATCTGGCAAAAAGGGCAAGGGCAAGAAGGTGGTGTGCCCTGCGTAAGTGTGCTCACTACTGCCCCTGTCTGCTGACACACACAGCTACAGGCTACGATATCAACAATGTGTTACTGCATACCATCCATTGCTCTAGTTTGCCTGTTTACGAAAAGGTGCCAAACCTGCAATTAGTCTATTAATCATTAAATCTTTATTTTATAAAGCGCTTTCATACAAAAATGTAATTCAAAGTGCTCCACGGTTCATTAAAAACATTGACCCAACAACCCACCCCAAACAAATCACACTCACATACATTAATGCACCAGAAAGCGCCCTCCAAGGAGCCGTGTGCACAAGGAGCAGAGAGCTGCTTGCAGCCATAAGGGAGGACACAGGACCCAGAGGAGATGTGTAGCAGAGGATGCAAACCTCTACCAGGTTCATGAGTCAGACCCCCACAGGGCACAGAGGGTCTTCTTTTACACTTTTAGGAGAAGAAAGTGCCGTTATGGTGCTTTCAGACCGCCAACGCTGAAACTCTGAAGCCCCGCTCACCAGATGCACATGCTCTAGTTTTCAGACGCAGGGGTCTTCACACCAGAACGTCCTAACCCGAGCCAGAAGTACCGGAAGTAGCCGGCCGGCTCTAATGCTAACAGAGCTATGCTAGCAGCTTCTTGTGCACAGATCTTTTCCAATATGCAGCTTTGCAGCGTGTCTTTGCTCACAGACATTCCACGGGCTTTATATAACAGTAGTATGTGTTCACGGAGGTGCGCCATAGGTATTTTTCATATTATTAAACAGAATTTCTGCATCGGGGAACACACTTGAAGCAGTTGCATATGGTCACGGGAGCATGACAACACATATTTTCACAAGCACACAGTCCCCCATTGTCAACCCTGGTTTGAGTTCTGGTGAAGTCTGGTGTAGCTCCTGTTTTGGCTGTTTATGAGTATTTTCAGTCTGCTCGCTCAGTCCATTAATGTCCCCGTGACCACTTTGCTGCTCTCTGATTGGTTGTCGCACGAACGTCCCAAGGAAAGGATGAGCAGAATCCATCTCCTGTGGGCGTCGATTTTTCGCTCCTGCTCCTCCCTTTTCACTTTCCCGGCTAGTCCGTGTTTCCCTATTGAACCGCCACCATAGACTTTGCAAACCCGACGCAGCATGATCCGGTCTGAAAGCCCCATTACAGCTGGTATAAATCAGAGTGTATTGGCCTCTGTCCTATAATGGTGTCAGAGGTTCATGGTCAGACTTTTCACATTAGTGCAGCTCTTGATTCATCAGCATTATTAAAATATTAAAATGCGAAAGTATAATACTATGAACACAAATGGTGAACCTATATCAGATATAAATTAATAAATTAATACAATCACTAAAATACTGTGAAAGTATTAGATTAGTATTTGTGTAATCACACTAATAGTTTTTTAAAATGTTGATTACATTTTTAAAAACTATTAGATTAGTGTGATTACACAAATACTAATCTAATACTTTGTAAATACTTTGATCTTTTTGGCAACAATTCATAAAATGAATTGTTTTTAAATTGAATATTTAGCTTGACTGCAAGCTACACTACGCTTCACTGAGAGACTTGTGGCAATTTGAGATGTAAAAAGTCATTTTTCTTCAAAGTGTGAGTGTGGGACAGTGCTGGTTCTAGAATGCTCCTCAATCGTGCTTGAGCACAGCATGGTTCACTATCTCTGCGTGTGCCTTAAGGGAATAGAGTCATAATATCACCATAAACACTTCACAATCAGGTGTCATAGAGTTAAGCCGTTAGGGCTTAACATTGTCCATACAGTCTATGCGATCAAGGAAAAAACAACTCCAAATCTGTTTTTGATATCTCAAAGAAGTCTGAAAACCCATTGTTAAATATGCTGTGGTGATTTGCAGTCAGCTGACCCCAGAAGACATGGCCCATGTTCCAGCCAACTCCACCTCCAACATCCTGAACCGGCTCATGGTGACGTACGACCCCAGGATCCGGCCCAATTTTCAGGGTAATCCTCATTTATAACCTCTCTGACACATTCCTCAGATCCTAATTTTAAACAGTCTTTCCATAACTTTAATACTTTTGTATTTGTTACAAGTCTGAGATTTGTCGAGCGAGTAAAATTAAGTCCAAATTAGCCCCGTAATAGCCTGGCCTTAGCCATCCGTACACTCAATAATCATCTCCCTGCATGTAATGTCTGGGTCTGGTCCCTGTGTTTGCGATTACAATCTGTTTAATTCCATCCAACCAATCAGCGAGCACGGGAGGCGGGTGTTGTTGTTAGATGCTGTATGTTTTACATGTTTTACAACCAAAGGTGAGAGTATTCTAAACCAACACATGATTATAGTTACTATAAAAACAATGTGTTTAACTTTATATTGAATCCAGTTTTGATTAAATCTAAACAATAAACGTATTTCGTTTTAAGAAAAATATCAAAATACCTCCATAATATAAAAACTATTATGAGGAAATCTATTCTTTCGGCCCCTGAACACTCCCTTTTATTTGGCCCCAAATTTAAATGAGTTTGACACCCCTGGTTTAAAGCATTAAACATATTAGAATGATATCAGACGGACAATGCTGCAAGTTATTCATAATAATTGAATATCATTTGGCCGGATTTGGTCCATAAGTTTGGCATGCCTGCTTTAGGCCCTCTGTAGTCTCTGATGTAAATATGTGTTTAATGCTGCATTATATAAAGTAACTGCTGTTACAGCAGATACACGTCTGCAGAATATTGATCTCTGCTCTGTATGGTCAGACTTCTCACACTAGTGGAACTCCTGAATCAGCAGCATCTGTTGTGTTTTAAAATGTCTGTAATGTAATGACATTTGTCAAGCATGCCTCGCCCGCCAATGGGGATTTTCTTGTAGACCTCAATGTTATGTTATGTTGAAAAAAACGGCTTGTTCTCTCTCAGCTGATAGGAAACCTACAGTGTTTTGTTTTTTAGTGTCCCTTGTCCTGAACTTTTTAAATCCATTGGTTTTCTATAAATCCACTCTTTTGGGCAACATACTCTTCCCGCTCTCGTCTCGCTCTAGCTCCGGTCTGATGTGCGGTGCACTGATTCAGAACGCGTGTGTGTTATGCTGATCCTGCAGAAGTATAACACTGGGAACCTACTGCACAACACCATATATTTCATAATATTTTGGCCTCCGTGTTGCGAACATATGGCAACGAGCAAAGGCCATTGATTTGCATGGACTTGGGATAAGCCCAGACTGAATACGAGGAGGCAGAATTTCACTTACATGCAGCTGCAGCTAAAATCTGTAACTCTTCCTGAATATGTGACAGACTTCTACTCTTACAATGCTCAAGTCTCGGTTAAACTATTCTAATAGTTGTACTAATAGAATAGTTTACAACTTAGAGATTGTATCCACACATTTTTATCTGTGTTGGAGAAGAACTTTGAGTTGCCCCGAGTATGGACTGTGCCAGTCAAATAAACTTGTCTTGCCTGATCTTTTGTCCTCTCTCAGGAATTCCTGTCGAATCCAAAGTCAATATCTTCATCAACAGTTTTGGTTCAATCCAGGAGACTACCATGGTGAGTATAAACCTAGCTCACTATACAGAGCCTCATGCTGCTAATGTACAGATGTAAACATACTGCTGCTAATGTACAGATGTAAACATACTGCTGCTAATGTACAGATGTAAACATACTGCTGCTAATGTACAGATGTAAACATACTGCTGCGAATGTACAGATGTAAACATACTGCTTCTAATGTACAGATGTAAACATACTGCTGCTAACATGTACAGATGTAAACATACTGCTGCTAATGTACAGATGTAAACATACTGCTGCTAACATGTACAGATGTAAACATACTGCTGCTAACATGTACAGATGTAAACATACTGCTGCTAATGTACAGATGTAAACATACTGCTGCTAACATGTACAGATGTAAACATACTGCTGCTAACATGTACAGATGTAAACATACTGCTGCTAATGTACAGATGTAAACATACTGCTGCTAATGTACAGATGTAAACATACTGCTGCGAATGTACAGATGTAAACATACTGCTGCTAATGTACAGATGTAAACATACTGCTGCTAATGTACAGATGTAAACATACTGCTGCTAATGTACAGATGTAAACATACTGCTGCGAATGTACAGATGTAAACATACTGCTGCTAATGTACAGATGTAAACATACTGCTGCAAAGAAGCACAAAGAAGGTCTAATAACACTGTGCCACAATGTAATTGGAATCATTTTATATGTACCTTCTAAGTATTTAGACCGAGATCTCAGCTCTCAGAATTTTTCTGAAGTTTGTTGATTGGTGAACTTTAATTTTGTATATCAAATACATAGTTGTTTACATGTTGTAAATTTAGTAGACTTCTGACTTCCGCCTTCGTTGAGTACAGACGTGTCTCAGACCGCTCCTGCTCTGACCGCTTGCACCATCTTGTTTACACACTGGGGTAGGTCTTGCACAGTTTCTCCAAAGTGGTTTTACTGAAAATGCCACTATCTTCTTGAATCTTGATTCCACCATGTTATACTCTCACAATAATAAAGGAGAAAACACAAGCTTAATCTTTCTAATGGTGAATCACAAAGCATGCTCTTTAAATAGAGTTTATCTGTATATTTCCAAGCAAATACACCAGACCAGGATAGGTTAACAAGGTGGACAGTATATGCTGGACAGCAACATACAGTACATACAGGTCATATCTTATCTCCTGTGTCTGGACTATTTGTTGCTATACATGCTGTATATGAGATGTTATGTTAAAACATTGACAACTTACATTTTCAGTGAAACAGGAGAAGGATATTCCGGTAGACAAGCCCTCTCGTGACCGTCAGTGGAACAAATGAAATTGTGTACACGTTTGTATATTGTGTCACACGCCCCAGCCAAGCTAACGTAACCAAGTGGGGATCTTATCAATATTTATTGTATGTTTGTATGTTTATTCATATTAATGTATTATGGTCACTTGAACTATAAACATGCAAGTTGGTTGGACAGAGACATGATAAAGATTTCAACTACAATAATGGTCATAAATGTCTAGTTTAATGGTTTGTATTTTTGAGTCCAATAGAAAAAAAGAACCCACTAGCAGGGAAGTGCTCATGGGTGAAATGTGGCTCCTTTAGGCTTTGACTCTATACATGTTCATTCCAGCCCGATGGAGTGTGGGCTGGAATGAATCAGTAGGGATCAGAAACTTATTTTCCTTTGGAATAAACATTTAAAATGTCTGTGCAACGTGTAGTACAGATTTGGAAAGAAAATGAGTACAATATTGAGCGTTCTGAGTAAAAGAGAATATAAATGAATTGAATTCCCTCCTGAAAGCATGTATCCTTCTAAAAAATTATTGGTAGTTTGTAAATGACAAACAGCATGCTCAAAACCTGTGAAGAGTCTCAAAAAGTCTTTCATGGTTTGAAAATTAAGTTGTTATTGTCTACAAGCAGATCCATGAGGTGTCCTTTTTCTAACTACTTGCTCTGTTTACACGGCAACTGTAAAGATACAAAGTGTTGGCTAATCCGCTGTGTGTTCCAGGACTACCGTATCAACATCTTCCTGCGTCAGCGTTGGAACGACCCACGCCTCCGCCTACCCACGGATTTCAAGAGCGACTCGCTGACTGTGGACCCCAAGATGTTCCAGTGTTTGTGGAAACCAGACCTGTTCTTCGCCAACGAGAAGAACGCCAACTTCCATGACGTCACCCAGGACAACATCCTGCTCTTCATCTTCCGGAACGGAGACGTACTCATCAGTATGAGGTTGGCCTGCTCTCTATCTAATCTGCGTAAAAAGTGTAATTGTTTGTGTAACTGAAGCTACAGTGTGTGCTGTAATCTGCAGACTGTCCGTGACGCTGTCCTGCCCGCTGGACCTGACCCTGTTCCCCATGGACACACAGTTCTGCAAGATGCAACTGGAGAGCTGTGAGTATCTTCAGCGCTTCCATATAACTAGAATGCCGGGATTAGATACGTCCAATTTCCAATGTTATCATTCTATAATTATTTTTTCACATGGCAGCAACTCTAGTAACGATCAGAAAACAAAACACATTGCATTACCATAGACTGTAAATACACACCGATATATTTTGGGCTCAAGACTGTATGGAGTATATTAGAAAATCCAAAGACGTTCGTCTTCTTTTTCTCATCCAATTCCATTTCAAACCAAATCAAGGAGTATTTAGACAAAATATGCCTTTTTTTGTAATTCCATATTTGAATTGTTTGACAGCACTAGTAAATCTATATAAAACCATGTGTGTTGCAGTTGGATACACCACCCGAGAGCTGGTGTTCATGTGGCAGTCAGACCCAGTGCAGATGGATGAGATCTCCCTGCCCCAGTTTGACATCAAGCAAGAGGACATAAGATATGGCAACTGCACCAAGTACTACCAGGGGACAGGTCAGTACTATATGAGTACTACTATGTCAAAGGACGTACTGCATGAGAGGGTACACAGTGGCAAGTGACACGTTTACAGGTTTGAATAAGCCTGTACTTGGGACGGTAACCCATGATGCAACGTGCAAACCTGTCAATTCAACTGGAGGGCATGGGTCCACACACGCATCTGAAAGCCAGAGGCATTCCCATGACAGCTGAGGTACATAGTCCTTCCAGCAGCCAGATTTATCATACTTGTAGGACTTGACCACTCAGCACAGTGGCTCAGTGGCACCAACCTTGCGTCCTGGATTTGAATCCTGTTCGAAACAGGGCCTTCAGAGTGGAGTTTGCATGCTCTCTCAGTGTCTGTGTACAATATCCTCCAGCCTCCAATTCTAGCAGTCCTGACCAGAGGTGGTCAAAAGTGTAACCAAAAACTTTTCATATATATCACCACTAAATAAAATAAAATCACACAATTTTTATCATTTGATTAGATGCTGCCAAATGCAGGCATGCTCTCTGTCACACATGCACATAAAGAGAGGAAGCAGTCCATGTCAACATGGGAGTTTTAATGGGAAGTAGCAAGTCCAAGTGAAAGTCAGTTATTGGTTTTAAGTCCAAGTAGAGTTGCAAGTCTTTTTTTCTATTTTGTTAAGTTAAGTCATCAAATTTATGACTTGAGTTTGACTCAAGTCCAAGTCACATGACTCGGGTCCACACCTCTGGTCCTGACCAAGCTGTAAGGCAAGGCAAGGCAAGGCAAGGCAAGTTTATTTATATAGCACAATTCATACACAAGGCAATTCAAAGTGCTGAACAAAACAAGAAAGCATTAAAATCATAAATAATCACAGAACATTAAAAAGAAAGATAAAAATATAAAATCCCTCAGTTGTATGCACAGCTAAACAGAACTGTCTTTAACCTGGTTTTAAACATTGTCATTGAGGAGGCCTGTCTCACATCTTCAGGAAGACTGTTCCAGATTTTAGCAGCATGAATCTGAAAAGCAGCCTCCCCATGTTTAGTTCTGACTCTGGGCACTAACAGGAGTCCAGTCCCTGTGCTCCTCAGAGTCCGGGCTGGTTCATATGGGACTAACATGTCACTAATATATTTTGGTGCGAGGCCATGGAGAAACTTGTACACAAGCAGAGCTGTTTTAAAGTATATTCTCTGAGCCACAGGAAGCCAGTGCAGAGACCTGAGAACTGGACTAATGTGGTCGTACTTCCTGGTTCTAGTCAGGACTCGAGCTGCTGCATTTTGAATGTACTGCAGCTGTTTTACAGCCTGTTTGGACAGACCTGTGAGCAGGCCATTGCAGTAGTCTAACCTACTGGAGACAAATGCATGGATAAGAATCTCCAAGTCTGCTTTAGACACCATGTTTTTGATCCTGGCAATGTTTTTTAGGTGGTAAAAAGCTGCTGATGTTACTGATTTGATGTGGCTATTAAAATTTAAGTCTGAGTCCAGTATTACCCCTAGATTTCTGACCTTGTTTGAAGGTTTTAGGGAGAGAGACTGTAGATGACAGATGACGCTCTCTCTTTGTTTCTGGGGACCAAAGACAATCATTTCAGTTTTGTCTGCGTTTAGCTGAAGGAAGTTGTTTTGCATCCACTCACTGATCTGTTGGATACAGTGAAGGAGTGAGTCCACTGGTCCATGTTCTCCTGCAGTCAGTGAGACATAGATCTGAGTGTCGTCTGCATAGTTATGATACGCAGTTTCTGCGTATTAACTGACCTAACGGCAGCATGTAGAGATTGAACAGAAGAGGTCCCAGGATCGACCCCTGTGGTACTCCACAGGTCAGGGCCATATGATCTGAGACACAGTTTCCAATCTCCACAAAGTACTTCCTGTCCTCAAGGTAAGACCTAAACCAACTTAGGGCGGTGCCAGCGACTCCAACCCAGTCCTCTAGTCTCTGTAAGAGGATCTCATGGTTGACAGTGTCAAAGGCAGCACTTAGATCTAACAAGATTAAGATTGAGACTTTGCCTGCGTCAGTGTTCAGCCGGATATCGTTTGTAACCTTGACGAGAGCTGTCTCAGTGCTGTGGTGGGGTCTAAAGCCGGACTGAAACATATCAAATGAGTTGTTGATTATAAGAAATCTAGTAAGCTGTAGGTAGACAACTTTCTCAAGGACTTTCCCCATAAATGGCAGATTTGAGATGGGACGATAGTAGTACCGTAGCATCGAGACTGCTCTTTTTTAGCAGGGGCCTGATGACTGCAGTTTTCAGGGCCTTTGGGAATATTCCAGAATGAAGGGACATGTTTACTATCTGTGTGAGTGAAGGTAACAGACTGCTCAGAACAGATTTCAGAAATCTAGTGGGTAGTACATCCAGGCTGCATGTGGAGGAGCTCAAACTGGAGATTATCTCTTGGACAGTTTGATCATCTACAGGTGCAAAGTGAGTTAGCTCAAAGAGCCTTTCTGGCTATTGGATGGTTATCTGTGGATTGGAGACAATGGCGTTTTTGATGCCTTGAACCTTGTCATTGAGAAAATTAGCAAACTCATTGCATTTACGTTTGGAAGTTAGCTCTAATGGCATTTGAACAGGGGGGTTTGTTAATCTATTAACTGTTGAGAACAGAACACGCAGATTGTTGCTGCAGCCTTCAATCATTTCAGAAAAATACCTTTCTCTCGTACTACATAGCACCCGGTTAAACTCGCACAGCTTATCTTTGAAGATCTCGTAATCAACCTGGTGGTTGGACTTGCGCCCGGTAATTGTAATTATAATTGTAATTATAATTGTATATACGGAGCTCACGTCTCACAATATGGACATTTGAACGTGGATGGCGTGACCATAGAATGATTGAACCGGGAAGCGCAGAGGAACAAGACTTTCCTTTGGATGGCTGTTTCGCTGAGTAACGCTTGTTTACCTTAGCTGTCTGTGCTAACGAGAGACCTGTAGCTTTTCTCAAGAAAGCGGGGGCCAGTGGTGTGCTGGGATTGGTCACAATCTGGACCCGAAACACATTCTCTTCCTTGTTGCACCACCATAAATCTGCGCAACTTTTTCTTCAAAAGGACGTATATCCCAATGCATTGCATAAATATGGTATTGAATTTTCGTAATGAATTCAATAATAAGGTCAGGTAATGCAGCTTTAACTTGATTTTGAGCATTATTATTTTATTTCTCTAATTAAAGGGAGGGTTGTTTTTTATAGTTACCTTGTGTCTGGTGTTGATTTAATTTAGGTATTTGTTTCTAGTTAGTATAGCTTTTGTATTATTAAAAGAATAGCCCTGTGACCCAAAATTGTATAAATAGCCTTTAGAGTCAAACTATTTAGTACGAGAGTACACATATTAAAGCTGCACTAACTGACTTTGAGAAATGTTCGAATGTGAGCGGTGAGCTTGCTCTTTTTGCTCGCCCTCCCCGCACGGAGCTTTCGCCCCCACTACCCCCTTCAGCCTGCGCTTACATGCTATGTATATGTCAGTTTGAAAGCAACTGTATAAAATCAAGCCCGGGCCATACAACACAACTCACAAAATATATAAATAATGAACAGTTTTATTTTATAAAAGCTAAAAGTGTTAAGTAAAAAAACAGAATAAGATAAAAGTTCCGTATTGAAATGTATCTATTAAAGTGTGGCAAGCGGAGGCGCGCTACGCGCTCCTAAAATAATAACAATTAAATAAAAGAAAGAAAAAGTCCAGCAACGCCAGGGCAGAGTGCCCAAAATAAAATAAAAAGCGCTCTAAGGCGCACAGGTTCGTAAAATCAAAATTGAGGCATAGGCAGACATTAGTTTACTTTGATAAATTATGTTGCAATGTATATTTCTGTTCTGTTACATTTCACTTTTACATTCACATGAGCCCATCTTCCTGTAACAAAGGACTCAGGAGCACAGGTGAACACACAAGCAGACACACGGGAGAGAAACAGGAGAAATGGAAGAAGAAACAGCGGTGGGCCGCGATGTGGCCAGTCCCCATCCTATGGATTATAGTAGAGTCAAGTTAGCTATGAACAACCACCATACTGTTAGTGTGTGCAGCTAAAACCTACTTTACAGCAAATGCTGAGCGCACCCTTGACAGGTGACGTTTACACCCACAGCCGGCTACGACACATTCCAGGAACTAGGGCGGCCAGACGCCAAAGCGACAGGACAGCATAACTATATAAAATCAGGATTCACGGGGTACAATGCCACACCGCGGCACTACAATAATAACTAACATTAGTGGCTGCAACATACAAATATCAGAAGGAGCACTAGAACTACTACCTGGAGGAGGAGGAGGCTGGGGCGACCACCGGGGACGGAAGTGCAGAGGTAAACAAAGACGTAGAACTAGAGACTATTTATTAGTTTATGCGCCCTCTGGTGGACACAAATATGGTGGCCAAGTCCAGCTTGCCACATTCATCCCCCCAAATTTTGACGATGCCCCGACGTCAACTAAACTCACACACAACTCTCAAACGTAGCGCTATCACTCACAATGACCGGTCCTGACACACGCATACAAATGCTAAACACGGGCCTAGGTGGGTTTGAGCCACAACAAGACCCCGCTGCGCAAAGCTTAAACCACACTTTTAAAAAACGAATCAGTGGCACCCACCGAGCATGACGCAACTTAAAGCTGCACTAACTGACTTTATTTTTGTATTCATTACGAAAAAGCTATTCATGTCCATGCAGTGCATTGGGATATTCGTCCTTTTGAAGAAAAAGTAGCGCAGATTTGGGCTGGCGTGACATTATATTTTAGATCGAGTTTTGATGAAACAAGGAAGAGAATGTGTTTCGGGTCGCAGATTGTGACCAATCACAGCGCACCACTAGCCCCCACTTTCGTGAGAAATCTACAGGTCCGTTGGCACAGACAGATGAGTTAGCACAACAAGACGAGGAGCTAACCTGAAACTTTGTGTCTTCGTCACCGGTTACTGCTTACTCAGCGAGACAGCCATTCAAAAGAAAGTCTCGTTCCTCCGCGCTTCCCGGTTCTATGGTCACGCCATCCACGTGAAAATCCATGTCCATGTATTTATCCATATTGGGAGACACTAGCTCCGTCCCAACAGTGAGTGTGTGTGGGGGGCGATAGCTTCGTGGGTGCGGGGAGGGGAGCAGAAAGAGCGAGGCCAGCGAGGCCAGCGAGTCCGCGACTTCAAAATCCCAAAGTCAGTTAGTGCAGCTTTAATAATCACTTTTCCAATTCTATTGCCGTGAAGGCGAGAAAAGGAGGCCCTGAAGGCTTTGAAAATCCACTGCCAGTTTCTCATAATCAAGCCTACTACACACTAAAGTACACGGGTGAACAACGGGTGCGTCTTAACCGCTATGTGAGGCATCCTCCCTCTCACAACACCACTGCTGTCTGGGATTACCCCACAGGAGCCTCCGAGTTACAGGTGCAGGCTTCACAGGTGACTCCTGTCCCATTAATCCACAACTACTGCTCCAACCACCGCTGCTTCTCCCCTTCACAAAACTAACACTTTATTGTTTTTATAGTCGCTGAGTGCCTTGCAGTTTTTATTTGGGTCTAATTGGCATTTCATTTCGTTTTGTTTTTGTTGTTACTTTATTTACTGTGTTTTTGGTGCTTGGCTCATTTTAATATATTGAACCCTGTGATTGGGTACTCGTGCTCTTTATGCCTGTTTCCACTCAGGGTCTGGTCCGGGCGTGGCTTCTCGTGGTGGGGGATTTGGTGATAGAGTTCACCCACTGCTGCACCATCACTCCTTTTGAATGCCGTGGTATTTTGCACCTCCCTTCAGCACTTGTACATTTTCAGTTTGCCTCTTTTCTTGATTTAGTGTGTGTATGAATGTGTGGCACGGAGCGTAGTGAGTGCTCTATTCTAGCCCCTTAGTCCTCCATCGTGTGCGGCCGCTACTGGCCAGCCTTGAGTGTTGTCTTTCTGTCTGGCTAACATTGGAGCACATATTTTTATAATCCTTGATCTCTATTTTTTTATGATTACATTTTATTACATTGAAACAAAAACATATTTTTCCTACTCATAGGTCTCATTTTCGTAATAAATTTCTTTAAACCATATAATTTGTGTCAGATCAATTACTTGTTGCATCCCACCATTATTCCGGGGCGCTGCGGTCACACAGAGCTTTTATTTTTGTAAGATTTTAACATTTATTTTTAATCATGATGATTATGCCAATGTACCCTGGGGCTCCAGGGGTGCCTAAAATTGGAAGGTCATGATGGAATTTTAAAGTATTTGGAATGGAAAGTGCAAATGTATTTTGGAAGTTTGGACAAGGAGTCTGGATCCCTGCTCTGAGTGGGATTGTGATTTGGAGACTGACCCGAGTTGGACCCACAGGGAGGGACTACTGTGGCCTGGTCGAGGCCCTTGACGAGCCGAATGCAGTTTCCACTGCTCGGATGCTAGCGGTCGTCAAACGCGGTAGGACCCCTGTCTGGTCTGCAAATGATACTAAGTATGCCACCTGCACTCTGGGACGCTACCAGTAGATTGGCCGCCTGTACCAAGCGGATGGCTCAGATGTTCAGGGTGCCTGTGACTTTGCCTGACCCCCATCGGCAATGGAGAAATGGACGTTGGGCTGTATGAGGCAGCAGGACATGAAACTGAGACCTTTGATGCCTTTCTGGTGAGCAAGTGTGTGTGTGTTTGATGGTGAGGAAGACCATGGTAAAGTCTATAGTTTGTGGCAATAGGAGCCATAACTGTGATTTGTAGCCTATGCTGAGGCTAGAGTCAGGCCGGAAAAGTTGGAAAAAAAATACCTTGCATTGCTCCCTCCACTGACCATAAAGCTCAGCTTGAAGCGCAATCACCACCCGGGGTGTTGTGGACCGATAGATGTTGTTCCAGAGAAAGCGCCCGCTTGATTTGTACCAAGCACTCTGTGCCTTGCCTGTCCGAGACTAAAAGGAACAGTGGTCCAGGGACTAGCACCCATAAAGTGTAGGGGGATGTGGGACATGGCCTTTTAATGCAGATGTGTTTTGATCATTAATGGATGTTTTTATTATTAATGCATGTTTTGTGTGCGGTGCCATGGAGTGCAGGCCCCACCCACTAGTCTGTCGTAGACACTGCGCACCTGTGGCGCATGAAGGACAATTGTCACAGACTTAAAAGTGCTGAGAGGACAAACACAAAACGGAGAGAGAAGGAAGGCAAAAGAGGGGATCCAGGCAGCGGAACTGAGCGGGGTCAGCAGGCGTGGGCCTGCTATGCAGCGTTGCAAAGATGGGCTAAGGAAGGAAAAGGGAAAGGCAAACGGGCGTGCAAGACGAGCCGCAGCAGTGGGACGAGCCAAAACCGGGACTGCGGGACGAGCCAGAGCCGGGCCAAAGCCGGGGCTGCGGGTCCACAGCCAGTCCACTGTTGTTTCTTTTTAGATCTTTTTTTTACTGACTCTTTTATGATGATCACCTATTTATTTTAATATGTTGTAATAAATCTTTTAATTACACCACCTGGTTTTTACGTTGCTCACCCCAGTGGTTTTACCTGTGTTTTTAAATTAGGTCCTAGGTCCTTTTACCTAGGTGGCGTTCCTGACCTTTTTAATGAATTTTAATTTGGTTTTATGTTAAGTGTTTTAAGTCCTTCCCTCGGTCACACTGGATTTGACTAAATGCTATTCTGATTATGCCATTAAACTCTTTAATACTGTTAGTATTAGATAGCAATATGGCCTACGTGCAGGACTGTACAAGGACTCCATGTTATGACTATGATGTGACTGTCTCTTTGTGACACGTATGTCTTTCGATGTGTGACGTGACAATGACTATATAAACTGTGTACTGCCTTTATTCTGTCTGAGAGAAGGAAACAGAGTAAACCAGTGGAACTTGAGAGAAACTTAAATAAACTTCCAGAGTTTGGCACACCACGATCCGTCTCTGTCTGCTAAATCCTGACAGATTTGGTGGAGAATGCGCGGCTCAGTGTGTGCCATTCTCTGGATTGTTTTGAGGGAATTTCCTCTGTTTCTTTTTTTCGGCGTGTGGGAGCAACAGCACGTTGTCTGGAAGGGGAGAAATCCCAGTGGACGCTGAAAGGGCTCGCTTTTGGATGGGCTTGCTCTTGCTCCCTCACTTTCTCTGTTTTGTGTTTAAATTGAATTTTTCGACGCGGAAAAGATAAGCAGACACCTTTTTTAATATGTAAAGTCTGCATAATTGGATACTAGCTAAATTTTGAGCTGTCCCGGAGGTCTGTCCAAATCTCTCTAAATCAAATTTTCTTTGTTGTGTCTTTGTCACGTCTTTGTCATGTCTTATGTTGTAGAAAACAGGTTAGCTGTGTGGGTAACCAGTCCCTATAGGAAAAAAGAACCCCTTGACGTATCGGGGTCCCTGTCCTTTGAAGTAGTCAGGGCAGAGAAAGAGTAATTACAGGGTAGAGGCCCTTTTTTGAGTAATTACCGGGGTAGAGGCCCCTTGCTAGCCAGAGAAAAGTGTTGGATCCAAAAGTGAAACCATGGTGTAAACAGAAAAGCAATAAAAAGGGAAATGTGTTAAAGAGGCCTTTGTTACAAAAGCTTTGAAATTGACAAATTTCAGGCTGATAAATGACAAAAGTAAAGAAGCAACAATATTTCAGTGATCACGGTTTAAATTACATACAGAAAAAGGGAGTTTTTTGTTTTTTAGTTCGTTTGTTTTTGGCGTGAACAGAGTTCACCGGAGAATGCCGAGTTTTATCTAAAGTTGAGCTATGAGAGCTTTCGTGAGTTATTTACATTTTTTGCCGAGTTTTATCTACAGTTAAGCTATGAGAGGGTTGTATCCAACAGTTGTTTTGTTTTTTAGAAAGAGATTTTGAGTTTAAATTAGTTTGCTACCTCGATAAAATAGAAGCGTAAACGTTAAAGACAAGAGTGCCTTTTGTCACAAGTGTAGAAATTGGCCATTTCTAGACTTGGATGACAAAAGTTTAAAGAACAACATCAGTTATATTTGCTTAAAAAAATAATCTTGAAAGTTATTCTTCTTTCTGTTTTTTGGCATTTTTGCTAAAACACTACTTTCTGCCTGTGTGTGTGTGTGCCGCACTATCTTGCTGCCGTTGTCAGGGAAACGGCCCCCTCCTTTGCTGCTCTGGCTCTGAATCAAAGCTACTGCTTTAGGATTTCTGGCTTTTCATAGTAGTTATTCAGTTAAATTTGCGAAATTTGCCATTGAACATTGTGTTAGACACAGTTAAACGTTTTTAAACACCATTAGGGAACAGAAGTTTTGAATATTATGTTTTTTGAAACCCAAAGATTAGTGCTAAAGCTGTGCAATTCTTTTTAGACCTAACATATTTCTAGATTCCATTCTTTTAAATCTGCTGCTTATTTCTTAACTTTTTGTGAGTTGTGTTTGTTTTTATGTTTTTATTTTAGTTACAAAAGCCGTTTTTCAAACATTTAAATTAGAATCTGTGTTAAAAGTGCTTATTGATTATAGACTTCGTCTAAAAAAGAAAGAGGGAATTAGTGGTGACTTTTGTTTTTGTTTTGACTACACGCCTGACCTTGCTCCTGCTGATGCCACAGCAGAGACTGATCTGAAATGTGCTCCAATTCATATTGACTTCATTTGAAAATGCTGCAATTATTTTAAATTAGTAGAATAGATGCTGAGATAAATAAGTGTAAAAGGGAAAGTCCATAAAGTGAAACCCAAGGACGCATAGATAATTAAACACACAGTGCAAAAGTACATAATACATATTTTAAAGTTTGAAGGTTTAAGAGATTTGAGTCTTGTTTTTTATTAAGAGAGAGTTTCTGGTCTTAAAATGTCATCATTAGTAAGATAATAAGTAATCTTTTATTTACATAGCGCATGTGGGAAAGCCCAGAGCGCTCCAAAATTGTTTTTCTCCCTAAAGTCAAAACAATCTCATTCGCATACTGATATCTATTGTTTTTTTAAATTGGCCGTCTCAAGGATTGTTTTTCAGACTCTGCCACACTGTACGAGAGGTCACTGCTGGACACTGGACAGCGCAAAGCCCACCCAGCCACAGGTCACAGAGCTAAGAGCAAAGGGCAACAATGCCACCTCTACGCCCCTCCCCCCACTACAGAAGTAAGTGGGAGTGAGACCGGGGCCATGAAAGTGGAGGTTTCTGGAGGCAGTGATGGGTGGAGGCCTCAGGTAGAGACCTAGAGGCAGTTGAAAGTGTGTCCACGTGGTTACATCACCACAGTGTGACCTTTGACACCTACAGGTGGTTCGAGGAGTCTGGAGACACAACCCCAAAATTCACACCCTACACACACACACACATACACACACACATGCACTCACACATTCACATTTACATATAGATACATGAAAAAGTAGAACATGAGAAAAAAGCATTTTAAAAGTTTACTCCAATGTAAACACATATTTTGAATTGTCTATCACTTGAATCTTTATTTGAATCAGTATTTTTTGAGACCAGAAATGATTCATTTGAATTCTATATTGTCATGGACTTAATTGA